GTGGCAGCTCCCCATAGAGTGAAGCAGGCTCTGTGCAAATATAGGAAAACACAAGGGGGTGCCAGCCTAAGTGCAGTATGTATTACAAGTTTATTGAAAATATAGCCAAATAGCTACTCACAAGAAAAAAGGGTATACAGGCATTAGATGGTGTCTTTACACTGGCCCTTTTGAGGATACAATCTAATGCCTGTATACCCTTTTTTCTCGTGAGTAGCTATTTGGCTATATTTTAAATAAACTTGTAATACATCCTGCACTTAGGCTGGCGCCCCCTTGTGTTTTCCTGTAACGGTTTGGTGAAGTTCTATGATACGCCAGAGGACGCTGACACCTGGCTTCTCACCCTGCGGTAACAATGTTCCCCCCCTGGGACCCAAATGCTTCCCAGACGCACTCCTGGCTTTGTTATTCCATTGGCACTCTGTTCTTCTGGGAACATAGCTCAATCCTCCATTTTGTGCCTGTTGCACTACAGCAAAGGCTTCGGCCTTTTGTAGCACCTTCACCAAGATGGCCTCTCACATTGTTCGGGGCCCACGTTCCATGGTTACTCACATATCCTAGTGCTGACACCTCCTGACACAAGGACAGAGGGGATACCTTGAAGATTCCCCAAAGTCACCTGGATGCCCTCCCCCATCTGCCGCTTCTGAACTTGGAGTTACTGTGTAATGTTTTGGTTTTTTTTTTTTTTTTCATCCTTTTATTTCTTGACCACAAACCCCACATACTCTTGCAAGAGAACCATCTCATGGGTAGTAAGATTCTTGCACTTAGACGTTCCAGGGTCAGGCAGGCATATCTTGCCACTTATTTTAACTTTGCACGGGGGAAGGGGGGTGGCAATCCCAATAAACAAGTCATTACCCTACTTGGTGGACCAGGTTGTTACCAACCCAGGGGGAAAGTATATTATTTTGCTACGCACCATTCAGGGGTCTTTTTTTGCCTTTGTTAATATCTATATACCCCCACCATCTAATGCCTTTATCCTTTATGAGGTATGTGGTAAACTGACTGCAATGCAAATAACTAAAGTTCTGTTGGCCAGGGACTTTAACAATATTCTGGATGGCTCACTTGATACCTCTAATCCCCATTGGGCTCCTGACCCAGATTTGTCCCTCTGGGTGAACACTGTAGAGTTGACTGAGCTCTGGTGTTTGAAGCACCCTGGTGATAAAACCTACTCCAATTTGTCAGCTACTCATCACTAGGGCACAAATCAATCTGACTTTTGGTGTACAGCGCTGCTTTTGCCAATGATATCCTCGGTTTACTATTTACCGGCAGGCCTATTGGATCATTCTCCACTGGAGATTGTCCTGACCCTGGGCGATCATAGACGGCCAAGTGCTGGCACCTGGATCCCTGCTGGATCAAAGTTTCGAACATATGAATGGGGAGATTATTTTGTATTGGGAATTGAATGCTGATACTGCTCTTCAGCTGATAGTAAGAGATACCTTTAAGGCCTCTACTTGTGGTGACTATTTCTCAGCGATTAAGGCAGCTAGAGTGGCTGGTGCATCCCAGACTACTCAGCTGGAAGACAAGGTCTCTGAAGCTGAGGTTTTGTTTGCTACTACGAATTCTCAATTCTCATATGAATAGCTCTCCCAGGCCAGTTGGGATTTGTCCATCCACTATACCATGATTACTAACTCCACTCCGCAGTCTGCTAGGGAGAGACTTTTTGCACATGGGTATAAAAATGGCAAGCTTTTGGAAAATTTGGTGGCAGATCCCAAATACTAGGTAGTCATTCCCTCAAATATCATGACCTCAGGCACTGTAACTTTGGACCCCTCTGCTATCTTGCAAGAATTCCATTCCTTCTTTGCCAAGTTGTATGCCAGAGTCCAAACCCCTCCGGTTGAGGAACTCCGTAATTAATTATACTCCTTACCTCCTCCTGTGTTGCCACCTGATGACCTTGCCCATTTACAATTTGATATCTCCCAACTGGAAATTGAGGATGCCATTCACTCCTTTCCATGCCAAAAAACTGCTGGGCCAGATGGTTTGCTGGGTGAGTGGTGTAAAACCTATGCCCTGGATATAGTGCCCCACTTACATGAGGTCTACTGTTTCAAGGAAGATGCTGTCCCTTCAATGTGTCAGGCTTATATTGTTTTGACCCCAAAGCCAGGAAAGGACCCCATGCTTTACTCCTCCCATAGGCCTATCTGCTTGCTTAATTATAATTTGAAAATTCTCATAAAAATCCTAGCCACCAGATTGATGAAGTTCTGCCATCTATGGTTAATATTGATGAAACAGGATTCATATCAAGGCGATCTATGGATGTGAACCTCCGCTGGGTCCTGTCCCATTTGCAGCTTCCTTCTATTCATGCTGGCCAAGTAAGTCTTGGTTTCCCTCGTTATAGAGAAGGCTTTTGACTCTGTGGATTGGGTATATATATTGGACGTTTTAGAGATAATGGGTATTGGTCCAAATTTTTGGAAGTGGATATCCATACTATACATTTGCCCTTTGGTCCAAATTAAAATTAGTGGGGATCTATTTCCCTCCTGTTCCATGGAGAGGGGGACCCGACAGAACTGCCCCTTCTCCCTGGCTCTTTTCGGTTTTATGATGGAGCCCATGGAAGTTGCCTTTCGCCACGCCTCAGGGGTTCAGGGCATTTATATTGGATCTATCGATGAAAAATTGGCGTTATACGCCGATGACCATCCGAATTCTACTTGTGGTGCAAATATGTATCCTAGGATTGGTGCATGCTCTGGTACATACCAGAGCGCTCAGAACCTTTTTAGGCTTGCTGTTCTATGCCAGGAAGGCAATTGTCCCTTCACTGGAAGTCAGCTACTGTCCCTACCCTTACAGTCTGGAAAGCACTGGTTAATTCTGTAATCCCTTTGTACAAGGTAACCTACCATGCCAGGGAGTGCCCTCAAAAGTTTCAAATGTTATGGAACATCTGGGTCGAATCACACATGACAGCGGTGTAGCAGATGCTTTGTGTTCTGTCAATCTACTTGTCCACGCCTATTAAGTTGCCAGTACTGTTGCACTGCTCTTTCTCATGTATTCTTTCCCTTACCCTTCTCCTCCTGCTCTCTTTGCCCTCTCCCTTTATACCCACCTACCCCCCTTCTTTCCCTTTTCTCCTGCAAACCTCTATCTCCTGGGTACAATTTATCACACCAAGTGGTTGTGGACATCTTGGGGACATGAATGTACTCCTACTTTGTTATTCCTAAGTATGTACTAGTACAATGAGCGTGGTTACGCCTTGGCGTAGTTTGTTACCTCTCTTGTTTTGCACTATATCACCATCGTTTATTGTTTAGTATGTCAGCCAGGGAATGCCCAGGAGGCTCTGTTTTTGTATTTATACCCTTTAATACAACCAATAAACAGATGTTTGAAAAAAAAAAAAAAAAAAAAAGGAAATAGTCGCCAGAAACAAGTCGCCCCACAAGCTTCATTAACCAACAGAATATGGTCGAGTATGATATCAAAACTGGACAATAAATTGACCGCTTTAATACAGAAATATTGAATTGAAGCAAGGAAAAATTAAGCCAATTTTGGTAAACAAGATAAAATGTTTCCACCATGTTCATTTGGGGCAGGTTCAATTCAGTCTGCTTGTGGCCAAACAAAAGCACCATTTTATGTGGTAAAAAATGTAATCAGAAGTTCAATTATATTTTATTGCTGCAAGTATGACCAGCTTTTACAGTCATTCACATGTGAAAGAGTTAAAAGGGATGCAAAAAGACTAGGGACTATGGCCACACCTCTTTACAATGTTGTAGTTGTGATCGCTAGGGACAGATATAACATGGCTTAAACTGTCCATACATGGATCAAAATTTGACCAGTCCCTGCTGAACCGACTGAATTTCGATCCATCATTAATAGGAAAATGTTAATTCGATCAGCAGCTGCAGTGCTGTCAGTGTACTCTGACAGCATAGGGCTCCCTTAGCACAGTTGGGAGGTTTCCTTCATCCACCACCTTGTGAATCATCCATGGCCAGCCTAACACTGACACTAATCTTAACCAGGGTATCTGTAGAAATCTAAACAACTCTTTGTAGACCAGAATGTTTTCTTAAAGGAGTTAAACTTCGCAAGTTTAGTCATTCCGGCACATCTGCAGTGTGGCAGGAAGGCATGCTGAGCTGCGAATTGTGCTGCGCTGTGAGTAGGCAGGTAAGTGTGTCTTATAGCAGAAGAGACATAGATCTGCCTGCTCACAGTTTTTAATATTTAGGTATAGCTTTGTTTTAAAGGCACACACCGTCACTTTAACTATTCAGGTGTCTCTGGATAGGGCATCTTCAGACCCCCTTACATGCACTTTTTTTGCTTCTCTGCAGCTGATGCAGTGATCAGCTGTGTTGGCGACCTTAGGCATCGGTGATGTGACCGTGCTTGAGTCCAGCCATTAGCTGCAAGGCCCTGGCACCATCACAAGGGAGCAGGTCACATTCTCCATATGCAGAAGAGCCAAGCATACCTGTTGGCTGAAGAGGAGCAAGCAGCTGCAAGGGAGCAGGTTAGGTGAGTTTATGGCGATCAGAGGCGAGTCCTTTCCAGAGACACGGTCACCTTACTCTGCTCTATAGGGACTGTTTGAAAAAGAGTTGCTTTGTGTGAAGGGTGGCTGAGGCATATGTTGTATCAAGTTAAAAAGTTTCATCTGATGATTCCATTTGGTGAGTCAGGGAGACTAATTATTTTTCTATCTTCCTTTGTTGGTAAGAGTTTGGCACAGAGGCTTTTAATGGCCTGCTGTGAAGTTTCTCCAGTAATCTCCTACCCTGGCTGCTCATACTTCCTTATCCTCATCATAGATGCCTGAAGCCTACTGGTCCCACTGAATTCATTGGGGTACCTTTCAATACATACTATACACTGCTACAGCAACATTGTTAGTTGCTTACTGTTGGATACCAAATGGAGATCACTCTATCTTCTTTTAATAATGATCTTGATTTGTTTTCTCTTTTGCACAGCTTCCCCGTAAAGCACCAGTTGAACGTCCAGCTCGGGCTGCAGAGCGAGAGGCCCTGGCCATGCAACAGAAAAACAAATCCTACACCCTTCTGGAGGATAGCGATGAGGACGATGCAAAGGAAGAGAGCAGATATGACAAGAAAAAAAAGAAAAATCTGAGGAAGAGGAGAAAAGAAGAGTCGTCTGACAGTGAGAGTGACCATGCACAGTGAGTACAGCTGGTCTGTGACTTGTGTAACGGTTATGTAATAATTAGTATACACTGTAGAATAGCAAAAAAATCTGTTTCCCATCATCATGCCATACTTAAAAATAGAGTAATGTGGCAAGTATGCCATGCTGGTTTTGCTCAAATAAGACATTAATGATGTCTTGTCTTGCAATTTAAATAGATGTAAACTCTAAGTGGGTGAGATAATTAGTTTGCTAAACTACTAGTTAAGTGCAATTTTTTTTTTCTTAATTAAATACCTGTTTTCATCTTTTTTGTGTTAAAGTGGTTGTAAACTTCAGACATGAAATATGAACAAAGACTATCCTTCTATAGTGTTTATTTGTCTCAGTCCAGAGCTCAAGTGTCATACCTGTCTGCTGCCTGTTCCTCTGATATCAACATAAGTCACTTCCGACACGTTTTTCTGACACAAAGAGGTAGAAAAGTAATAGGGGAGGGAATTCCATCACACACCTGTGATTGACAGCTTCGGCTCAGTTCCTGTGTGCTGTGTGACACAGGGTGTTTCCCTTCCCTCCATTCCTTTCTCAGCTCTCCTTATTGAGATCTACAGGGTGTAACTTCAGCTCTGTGCCCCCCTGAAGGTCAGAAATGCTGTGTAAATTCTGAACTTTGAATGGATGTAGAGAAGAGGGCCGCAGATACTCAGGTACAACTTATGTAGGAGGATTTGTTTAATCTGTCTATCATCTGATGTCAGTCACTTCACTGGATATACAGTGGGTATAGAAAAGAATCACCCCCTTTGAAATCACATTTTATTGCTTTGCTGCCTGAAATGAAGACAGACACATTTTTTGTTTTATCCATCTGTATTTGCTCAGTGCAACTGATAACATCCAAGTGAAAGAGATAACGCCAACATGTCAGAAAAAATAAAATAAAATCAAACACAGAATCACTGAGTTAGAAAAAGAATCACCCCCTCCTAAAAATGGCTTGTAAACTCAATCAGGTGTAGGTAGTCACCTTGTCAATGGCACACAAATCCATTTGACTTTCAGCTATGATCAGCTGCGGTCAGTTTGATTAGCTCGGTATGAAAAGAGCTTTCCTGGAGCATTTCAGTCTATGTTAGCGCAACTGAAGCAAACAATCAATTATGGGTGGCAAGGCACTGTCAAAATATCTTCGGGATAAAGTTGTGGACAGGCACAGGTCAGGAAATTGATACCAAAAAAGGTCAAAGGCTTTATTAATGCCTAGAAGCACAGTGAAGTCTATTATTAAGAAGCGGAAGGTGTTTGGATCAACACAGACCCTCTCTGGATCAGGCCATCTCTCCAAACTGGATGAAAGAGCCAGGAGGATACTGGTCAGAGAGGCTACCAAGAGGCCTACAGCAACTCTTAAGCAGTTGCAGGAATTTATGACAAGGCGTGGTCATTGTGTGCATGTGACAACAATATCACATATTCTCCACAAATTTGGCTTGTATGGGAGGGTTGCAAGAAACAAGCTGATCCTCAGTTATGACTGAGCTTTGTCAAAATGCACCTTGAAGATTCTGAAGCCACATGGAAAAAGGTGTTGTTAGATGAGACTAAAGTTCAATTATTTGGCCTCAACACTAAATGATATTTCTGGCAGAAATCCAGTACAGCTCACCATCCAAGTAACACCATTCCTACAGTAAAGCATGGAGGTGGTAATTACCTGTTATGGGGGTTTTCTCTGCAGCAGAGACTGGAGCACTTGTCAGGATAGAAGGAAAAATGGATGGGGAAAAATACTCAAATTCTTGTGGAAAATGTTCTGCCCTCTTCCAGAAAGTTGTCAATGGGAAAAAAGTTTACCCTCCAACATGACAATGAGCCAAAGCACACAGCAGAAATGAGCACACAGTGGCTGAAGGAGAAAAAAGGTGAATGTCCTTGCATGGCCTAGTCAGAGCCCAGACTTAGGCCTCATTTTAAACCAGTGTAATGACTTGAAGATTGCAATCCACAAATGGTCACCATAAAATTTAACTGAACTTGAGTAGTTCTGCAAAGAAGAGCGGGCAAATATTGCAAATTCCAGATGTGCAAAGTTAGTAGAGACATATCCCAACAGACTAAAGGCTGGAATTAAAGCAGAAGCTGGTTCAACAAAATACTGACATAAGGAGGTGATACTTTTTCCAACTAGGTCATTCTGTTTTTGAATTTTTAAAACATTTTTTCTGACATGTTGTTATATCTTTTACGTGGATGTTATAAGTTGCACTGAGTTGGATAAAACAAAAACTGTGTCTGTCTTCACTTGAGGCTGAAAAGCAACAAAATATGATTATTTTAAAGGGGGGTGATTCTTTTTTATACTCACTGCATGCAAGGGTTTACAACCACTCTAAGTGCCTGTTCACATATATGCGGATTGGATGCAGTTTGAACCGCATCCAATCCGCATGATGTGAAAAAACATTGCTTCTTATGGTGCCTGTTCACATATGTCCGGTGCACTGGCTGTGCAGATTCAGTGCGGTTTTAGCCTGGGTTCACACTTGTGCTGTGCAGCATACCGCATGTTATTCGCATAGGAACCGCACCGCAATCCTGTGCAAATCACATGCAAATTCTGTGCTGTGCGATTTGAGCCATACATTTTTGTATGGCTCAAATCGCACCACATTTGCACCAAAAAGGTGCAGAACCCTTTTTTTTTGGTCTGCACTAGAATCGAATCGCATGGGAGTTCACACCCATGCGATCCGATTCTGCACATCGCACAGCATTTTGCAAACTGATTTTGGGGTGTCGTTAACTTAAAATACTCACCCGCAATGGTTTGTGTGAACGGGGTGCAATTATGATGTGGTGAGAAAATCGCACAGAAACCGGTGCAAATTTCGTGCCTCATCAGTGTGAAGCCAGGCTTAAAAAGAGTCCTTTCCGATTTTTGAGCAGTGTGATCCGGTTTAGTTCGGATTACAGGCTATTGACTTCGATGGGTGAACAAGATAAGATCCTGAGCTAATCCTGGCCTGAACATGACGTAAACCTGATGTGAACATGTGTACTACTGTATCAATAAGCTGTGAAACATGAGCTTTAAGCTGCATCGCATATGTGTGAATCACCTCTGCCTGTTCACATATATGTGGATTGGATGCGGTTTGAACTGCATCCAATCTGCATGACATGTGAAATAACATTGCTTCCTATGGTGCCTGTTCACATATGGCCAGTGCAGATTCAGTGCAGTTATAAAAAGAGTCATGCCCGATTTCTGAGCTGTGGCTTCAGGTTCAGGTGCGGATTACAGGCTATTGACTTCTATGGGAATCGTTCCGAAACCGCGAGAACAGGATAACAGGATAAGATTCTGAGCTAATCCTGTCTTGAACCTGATGTAAACCTGACGTGAACCTGTGAACAGCTACTATATCAATTGAAACTTGAGCTTCAATCTCTTAGAGCTGATTCACACACGTCCACAACTTAATGCAGCTACGCATGTAGACGTGGTGAAGATGACTTGCTGAAGTTCAAACCAAGCATCAGAATGGAGAAGAAAGGAGATTTAAGTCACTTTGAACGTGGCATGGTTGTTAGTGCCAGGCAGGCTGGCCTGAGTATTTCAAAATCTGCTGATCTGCTAGGATTTTCACATACAACCATCTCTAGGGTTAGAGAGAATGGTCTGAAAAAGAGAAAATATCCAGTGAGAGGCAGTTGTGTTGATGTCAAAGGTCAGAGGAGAATGGGCAGACTAGTTCGTGATAATAGAAAGGCAACAGTAACTCAAATAACCACGCTTTACAACCAAGGTATGCAGCATACCATCTCTGAACACACAGCATGTTGAACCTTGAAGCAGATGGGCTACATCATTAGCAGACCCCACCAGGTGCCACTCCTGTCAGCTAAGAACAGGAAACGGAAGCTACGATTTGCACAGGCTCACCAAAAATGGACAATAAAAGATTGGAAAAATGTTGCCTGGTCGGATGAGTGTCTATTTCAGCTGCAGCATTCAGATGTTAGGGTCAGAATTTGGCATAAACAACATGAAAGCATGGATCCATCCTGCCTTGTATCAATGGTTCAGGCTGGTGGTGGTGGTGTAATGGTGTGGGGGATATTTTCTTGGCACACTTTTGGACCCTTAGTGCCAATTGAGCATTGTTTAAACACCACAGCCTACCTGAGTATTGTTGCTGACCATGTCCATCTCTTTATGACTACAGTGTACCCATCTTCTGATGGCTCCTTCCAGCAGGATAATGCACCATGTCACAAAGCTCAAATCATCTCAAACTGGTTTCTTGAACATGAAAATGAGATCACTGTTCTCCAGTGGCCTCCACAGTCAACAGATCCCACTCCAATAAAGCACCCTTGGGATGTGGTGAAACGGGAGATTCGCATCATGGATGTGCAGCTGACAAATCTGCAGAAACTCCATGATGCTATCATGTTACTATGGACCAAAATCTCTGATGTTAAATCAATGCCATAAAGAATGAAGGCAGTTCTGAAGGCAAAATGGGATTTCAACCCGGTACTAGCAAGGTGTACCTAATAAAGTAACCAGTGAGTGTATACACCTATGCATAGATAATGTTAAAATGCCATTGTGATGGTACAGCAAACGTCTTCACGGTTTTACTTTGGTTTTAATTTCTTATTGCTCACCTGATAGCTGTGAAAACCAGGAAACTGTGATATGCAGATTCTCACTACTCTTTTGATCAAAATCTAAACTCCCCTTTTCTTGGGACCTTTTAGCTAGGTGAAATTTGCATGGTAGAGAACCAATAATTGTGGGGGTTCCAGGGTGATCAGTAGAATGGTGACTTGGAGGAGACAGCTGGTGGTGACTACTATAGGTCAGTGGTGAACTATCCATTTTGGTCTTTTTACAGGCAAACTTTAGGGCCAACGCATATTTGATAAGCATTAACCCCCTCCTAAATTGAAGGCTATAGCTTTAGCATTTGCAATAGGTGGTGTTTACTTGGATTAGTCTGAGTTTCCCTAACTGCACGGATGAGGCCGATGTTATTATGAATACTGACTATTCTTGTTTCAACACTATAAGTATGCTTGTACACCAAAGGTTTAGTCTCTAGAAGTCAAGGTTTACATAATCTGGGTACATTAAAAGCCACCAGTGCAGTGTCTAGGTCCAAAGCCTGACACAGCCATCTGGCCCTGAGAGTTTCTAGATTCTAGTCATACCTATCAGCTCATCTGCTGAAGAATGTTATACTGTGTAGAATAGGTTCTGTTCTTCGTACTGACTGGTCTTTCTCTCAATGACTTCCAGAAAAGAAAAAGCTCCATCGCCTCATATAATCTCAGATGAAGAAGACCAAGAAGAGATAGAACGGTTAAAAGATCTGGAGGAAAGGGATGCTTTTGCAGAAAGAGTAAAGCAGAGAGATAAGGAGAAAACCAGGAATATTGTGGAGAGGTCAGATAAGAAGGTAAGGTGGTCTGGTACGTAACGTTGGCTATAGGGAGAAGGCACTGTGGGAAAATAGTCTATTTGCCGAAAATGCCCGCACCAGTTAATTTTTTTTTTTTTTACGGATAGTGCTTTCATTTCTTCATTGTATTTTTAAAACTCTAATTTGTGTTCTGTACAATTACACTGTAGGCCATATGAAGAAGCACAGAAGAGACTGAAGATGGCAGAAGAAGATCGTAAAAAAATGGTAAACTTAATTTCAATTTGATATTCCAGTGTTTAACTTTTTGCCTGGGGTAGTAGTAAATCTGTCTGTCTGCACGGCTTCTCTGCTTCCGACAGCTGCATCCTGGCATTTAACTGCTAGTGCAAGGCTCTTAGTAGTTACATGTCCAGCTCCTACTGGACTGCAGGTCCCAGTGCTGTACAGTGCTTGAGTGCAGTGCTCGGTAAACAGATCCTAGGGTGGCAACATGTGTCCGCGGCTTGCTGAGAGGCTTATCCAGCTGCTGGTCCAGGCATCTAGGTGAACCCTGATTGTAAAGTCAGGATCTTTCCTGAGCCTAGACCGGTGTGAGTGGCATCAGCCAACAGCAGGCTTAAGCCCACGGTTGGCTGAAAATGGATCACAGGAGTGCAGAAAGAACTCCTGTGGCCTAGAGAAGTATAGCCAAAATAACTTTAGCCATACTTCTTTAAGTATTTGGAGTCAACTGACACATAAATCTTAAAGTAGAACTATAGGCAAACATTTTATTTATTTTCAATTTTTGTAGAACAAGGGATTGTTATAACCACTGTCAGAGTTTTTGCCATCTGTGTCCCATCACATAGATTTACCTTCACTTCCTGTTACAAAGCCAAAAAGAAAGTGAGAGGAAATCCCTGCAAGTTAAAGGAATCCATTGGGGCCCCCCAGGTCACCAGAACTAGTGTCCCCTTTGGAAAATTTTCCCTCTATTACATTTCTGGGGACAACCCATAATTTGAGATTTTCTTTTAGTTTCATTCTCCTTAATGATGGTAAGTGGGGCAAATAGAGAGGGTAAATCTCCCCAACAGTTGCACAGATGGCAATAAAAACTTGACAGGGGTTCTAATTCATCTCCACTGTATCCAAAATAAAGAAAAAAGTTTTGCTTTTAGTTATACTTTAATATTTCAGGGAAGATTTATCTAAGTCCTTTTTGCTGGTCTGTATTGCCTTGCCGGCTAGTTAGAATTAGTAAATGAGCCATTATATATAACTGTATCTGTTGTCTGGACCATTCATTTTCTGGTCACTTGTTGATCTTTAGCTGTTGCAGTTTTCTTTTCAATTAAATGCCTGTACTGACTCAAAAACTGTTTAAATGTCAATACTCTTACATGGGCATTTTTGGGAGTTTTATCCATAAGATTGAGGCCTTCATTGACTATTGTGACTAATGCTTATTCTTTGCAGTGTTTGCACTAAGGCTTACATGTCACGCGTTTACATGTCTATGTTGCTACAGGTACCGGAGCTAAGGAAGAAGTCTCGTCGGGACTACTTGGTGAAAAGAGAAAAGGACAAGCTGGAGGACCTGGAGGCAGAGATAGTAGATGAAGAATATTTGTTTGCTGGGCCTGAACTGACAGAGCATGAGATACAAAATTTGGAGTATAAGCGCAAAGTGAGGGATCTAGCGAAGGAATACAAACAAGCCGGAGAGAAGGAGCACAGGGAAAAACATGACCGTTACGTTATGCCTGAGGAGACGAGGAGTAAGGTACATCACAGATTTAAACCAGAACTCATAAACTAAGACCCTTGCTCTGTCTGTTCTGAAAACAGGGAGGGGCACATTTGATTTTAAGTGAACCGATCAGAGACAAATTGGCTTATGATTGGTTTGGCTGACTCTAATCTGCATACCTGATGTCACAGGTGCCTGACCCTTGCCAAAGTTGACTGAGCATTGGAAGAAAAAGACATTGTTTCAGACAAATCGTTCCTTAGTACTTGTGAGCGTTTGAGTAATACCTAAGGTAGAGCTTTATAGTGTGAAATTTTATCAAAGAACATTTTAACAAGGAAATGTCCACTAAAAGTGGTCTGTGTTCAAAACTCAACTGTAGTTTTCCTTTTTAAATAAAAGTGGCAACCAGTGTAGTCCTTTTGTTTGCTTTATATGGGTTTTGCACCTCCATACAGGTCTACAGCATAGGTATGCAAAATACACTTAAAGCGGGTCATTGGTAGATTAAATACACCTAATGAATTTTGAATGATCTCACAATCAACACAAACCCAAAGCTCATCAACACAGGCCCTTATTCTGCAACCTAAATGTAACTGTTGTTGAAGCGTTAAGATCCCTAAAGAGAGCATAGCCTACTTACTCAGTACCTTATTTTATCTAGGTATAGTTGTAGTGCAACAGTTCACTCCAGAACATTTGTCAGTAATCTGATGGTTCTGCAGTGTGCCCGCTTGTGATGCTGGAACACTCACTGCGGGCTTTTTACTTTTACATACTGTAGTACAGTTTTGGATTTTTGTAAATTTGAATGTCGTTTGTGATGCAGAAAATGGAGAGATAAGAAGTTACACAGTCCAAGCTTCCAAAAGTTTACTTTTAATACCCTCCAACTGACCCTATTTGGGGTTCACAGTTTGCATTTATCCCTTTTTGGCCCTTTGCCATGATCTCATCTAACCCACCAGCTCTCTCTCCACAGGTACGTGCCTACCTAGATCTGATGAACACAGCCTCCAGTGCTTGTTTACATCCAGCACCACAAGTCTTGCTGTCCTGTCTGCATCTGTGCATTACAACCCCATAGACTTCTGTGGGGCTGCATCTTGAGGCTGGGGACAAAGTGAGACAGTGGGAGATGTAAACAAACACTAGAGGCTGCAGCATTTGGTTGGTAAGTTATGCATCTGTTGGAGGAGAAAGGGTTAGGTCCTGCCAGGGTAAAGGGTCAAAGGGATCAGTACAGTTTTTTCAGTTACACTGGGCCCTGAATATGTGTTTTATCATTTTACCAGGTGTTAAGGGTAATTTTGCTACATGCTATATTCCGGTTTACTAATTGCAGTACTTTTAATGGTTGTATTTCATACTGTACAGAAAATTCCAGACCGTTATGAGGAGCCGGTGACAGAAGAGCGTTTTGCCCCTCGTGAAGAACAGAGGAGATGGGAGGAGGAGCACATTGGAGCAGCAGCCCTGACATTTGGTGCAAAGGATGCTCGTGTACGGGGACAAAAGCAGTACGACTATGTTATGGAGGAGGATGAAGTTATACAGTTTGTCAGTGCCACACAAATGAAAGGAACTGTGGAGAAGGTGAGAGGTCCCACTGTCACTAGTTTGTCTTTGTTTTACACCCCAAAGAGCACTGATTCATGCCATTGGTTAGAGATGCACTTCAGTCAAATATAAACATTTTACATTTAAAGCTACACATTTTCTGTCTATCTCTGTGACACCTGTACTGGAATTGAGCAGTGCAGTTGTCACTTGTAAAGGAAGGCACCAATGGCAATAAAAACATTGTCAATTTCAAACCTTTCCTCATTTTATCAATGATTTTTTTTCTCTGTCTCCTATTGAAGAACATTCCCATCACTTTCCTGTCCTTGCAGAAAGTGAGGGGAAATCTTCCTAATGGGGTCAGAGAGCGCAATGAAAAACCGCTATGAACACCAAACAAGTGGCGTGAAGAGAGGCTGTGTTCTGTTCTAAAATCCTATGGAGATGGTACCATGTATGTGCACATTGGTCTCTAGGCTTTGAGGTTCTACCCTCTAGTAAGCCTTTGTGATTTTAATGTGGTGGAGGTGTCTGTTTTGATAGTTACAGAAGCTTCACTTATGCTGTGGAACATCCATTGCTGGTAAATGGAGCAACAAAGATGTACAAATGGAATTTTCATTTATTAAACAGTGATGGAAGATTTTATCAGAGTATTGTATCCTAGAAGTTTCACTACTAGCGCTTCAGTGTTTGCACACTATAAAAAAAAAAAAATAATAATCTGGCAGAGGCTCTTCTTCCTGGGCAGCAAGGTGAATTTAATTTTTGCTGCGCTTTGTGTGAGAGCAGAGGTCTGTCTGTAATGGGCTGACACGCTCCCAGCGGAGTCACAATTTACTGCTTTCAAATTTATAATGCTCAAAGAACAGTACTTGTGTGCAGGGAGTGTCAAACAGCGTGATACAGACTACTGCTTTCACACAGATATTGGCAGTCTTTATCTATAGCATGCTGCCAGGAAAGGAAGTTGTGGTGCTATTAAAGTAAGACACTTGAAAACTAAAACTTTTTATACACTAACCTCACTTTCAAAAATTCAGTATATACACCGCAGTATATATTTGTAGACACTATCACTTTCAAGTACACCAATTAATTTACACGAATTGGGATTTTGTTTGGCAAAGACATGTAGCAGAATACATTTTGGCCTAAATTTATGTTGAAATTTGATTTTTTAATTTTTTTTTACTGGATATGTTTTATAGGAAAAAAGTTAAAAAAAATTTTTTTTTTTTTTTTTTTTTTTTACAAAATTGTCCGTCTTTTTTTGTTTTTAGCGCAAACATTAAAAACTGCACAGGTGATCAAATACCACCAAAAGAAAGCTCCATTTGTGGGGAAAAAAGGAAGTAAACGTAATTTGGGTGCAGCGTTGCATGACCATGTAATTGTCAGTTAAATTAACGCAGCTCCATATCGCAAAAAATTGCCTGGTCAGGAAGGGGGATAAATCCTGTGAAGGGCAAGTGGTTAAAAGTTTTTCCATAAATAAAACTAGCTTTGCTGCAATATTCAGCTTTGACCCAGAGATTTACCCCCTCAGTTCTTTTTTCTGATGCTAGATGACCTCAGTCTGATGGTCAGTGTCATTCAACCTACGTCTTCTATGCCCAGGTTATCCTGGACCTACCTCCAGTGAATGGACAGTGAAAGAAGCTGAACAGTGATTAGCTCACCTCTGCTTTCTCTTCAGTATGCTTCTTGTTAGTACATGAACAAATTGGCTCCTTGTTCTGTTTTTTTTCCTGTCACACACCAGCCCTGCTGTCCAGGGACTGCAAGAGGCTGATATCAGGTCAAATTCAGGTCCTTGCACGGCTTGCATTTAACAAATACATTCAATTAATTATTAATGGCTATAGAGCTGCAATAATTTGTGTTTCTTGACTTTCGTATACTTGCTCTGAGTTGGTGCCTCAAAGTACTGAAGCTATAAGGTCAGTATAACAGCTAGGCAACTATTATTTTCAGATCAGCAGTGACAACTTTCATGGTATTTTTGTGAAAGGCTTACTTTAAATTGACTGGGTGACATAATGAGGTTTATTTACTAAAGGTGGAGAAAGCAAAATCATGTGCACTTCTGCACAGAAACCAATCGGCCTCCAGGATTTATTGCCATAGTTTAATTGAACGAGCTTAGGTTAGAAGCTGATTGGCTACCATGCACAGGTACGCCAGATTCTGAGTGCTCCAATTTTAGCAAATCTCCCCCACTGTACCTGCTAAATGGTTGTCAAACAACCTGGCTGTGTGATTGTTTGCCTGGCCAGATAAAACGCATTTGCCCCCATTTTTGTTTTCTAGATGATCTTGATTATGTCCCAAGTTTTTATCGTTTCCCTCATTTAAAATGTGTACTCTGAATACAAAATAGTTTCTAGTAGAGAGCACAGAAAAGCTGAGTCTTATTTCAACTAAACACCAGCGTGAGAACTTTGTAACTAAAATTCAGAGGTGGGCAAGTACATATAAGCATTGGCTCCTGAAGTGTATTGGTTGTTTGTGTTGGATGTCTGCATGTCAGACCTTTGCTTGGTGCTTTTAGAAGCTAGGAGGATTTGGATGGCTGCAGTACCAATTCAAACAAAACCATGTATCAGTAGGAAAGGGTATAATGTTAGGTTAAAAATACACTCACCGGCCACCTTGTTAGGTGCACCTTGCTACAAGGCAGAATGGATCCATGCTTTCATGTAGTTTACACCAAATTCTGACCTTATCATCTGAATGTCCCTGCAACAATTCTGCCCAGTCTTCTCTGACATCAACAAGGCAATTTTGTCCACACCACTGCCGCTCACTGGATATTTTCTTTTTTTCAGACCATTCTCTGTAAACCCTAGAGATGGTTATGCGTGAAAATCCCAGTAGATCAGCACTTTCTGAAGTACTCAGACCAGCCCGTCTGGCACTGACAACCATGCCACTTTCAAAGTCACTTAAATCCCCTTTCTTCCCCATTCTGATGCTTCGTTTGAACTTCAGCAAGTCATCTTCACCACGTCTAGATTCCTAAATGCATTGAGTTGCTGCCATGTGATTGGCTGATTAGGAATTTGTGTTACCAAGCAATTGAACAGGAGTACCTAATAAAGTTGCTAGTGAGTGAATTTGAGGCCTCATTTTATTAAAAGGATCATTTTATTTAAAATGAAACCATAGAACTTTCAGAATTTTCTATATTACTTTACTTTTATCCAGACCTTGAGCTAGCCAAATCAATAATGTATTTGTGATTTTTAACCTGATTTTGTGTAATAAAATCTATATTTTGGAATAAATTATTGTATGTGTCTATAGGGAACTGAAAAAGTCCAGTTATGTTTTTCTTCAATTAGATCTCTTTACTTTAAAATGTCATTGCATAACATTTACTAGTCCCGACACAAACTGTTGTGCTTTTATAATCTTAGGCTTCGTGTCCATCTTAGGACAAATTTGAAGAGTTGTTTGAAATATTAGGTTAAGCCATATTTTTTTTTTTCTTCCTAACTTGTCAGGAAGATGAAAACGAAAAAGTACTCTCTGAGCTGGAAAAAAAGAAATTGTCCATTCAAGAGGTGCGCCGCAGCCTTCCTGTCTTTCCGTACCGAGAAGATCTCCTCAAAGCCATCTCTGAGCATCAAATGCTCATTATTGAAGGAGAGACTGGATCCGGCAAGACAACCCAGATCCCACAGTATCTGCATGAAGAAGTGGGTGTCCATGCTTCAAAGTCTGTTCTTATTATATACTATTTTTGTGCAGAATGAATTGTGAGTCTGTACTAATTGATCTATAACCGGTTATATAAAGGCTTAGTTCAGATGTGAGGCCCCCCCCCCCCCTTCAAGCTGCAAAAGCAAGACCAGATGTGATGTACACATTTTGTTGGCAAAAACATCCCCCCATCACATTCATCATCCAGTACTGCATCTAGCTGAACACTACCCCTTCAAGTTGTGGGTCCACGCCACAACTGCTGCCAAATAAACCTCCCAAAAAACCCACCCAGAGGGCTGCTGTATTGTCTCCTAAAAATCTGTCAGTGGCATCTGCATTTCTCTATGAAAAGCAATCCACTGGAGATCACTTTTCAATATTGACGCAGGTGTAAATAAACCCTTAAAGTGTACTGACTAGGCCTGATATATTTTTTCTAAGGTAGTAGTGCTGAATTGCTGAACCTTGTGTTGCCTTCTATTATTATTATATCTGCTATTACTGAGATTGATGCCTATGGATCCCATAAAATTCCCATCCCCACCCCCATGTCCTACTGAAACTTACCGCTCCAGCAAATTTGCACCACTGGAGGGTGGAACATGTGCTCGGGTTTAGCGGCCAATTGCTAGGCCCCTGACCACTGATGCACGATGGAGGAGGTAACATCACCACTTTCCCTAGGCTATTGCAGCAGCCAACACTGGGTACTTTGCTGCTAGCGGCAGTGGAGGAAAGAGCAGTTAGAAACAGCTGAAAATATCAGTATCATTGGGTTGAGGGGGTACTTTTTACAGACACTGTTACTTTGCCCTGAATGAATCAGTGTATTTTTAAGGAAATTATGAAGGACTGAAGCTCTGTTTTGGGCTTGGTTTTATATGGTGTGGGCTTTGCTTCCATCACCCTAATCCTGGTTTCTCTACTTAGTCACTGACCTGGAACAATTATGTAGCAAGTGATATTTAAAAAAAAACAAAAGGCTGCATATATTAGGTCAGCACCTTGCTATATAGTAAAGCCAGGTTCGAGATGATGGTGCTGGTACCATTTTAAAAACCGGTCAGCAACCGCATCTCACACTTTGTTTTTTCACAGGTTCGCTGTAATGCTTTGCACAATATTTAGTGCTTTTATTTTTCTTCTCCATCTTCTATAGGGTTACACTCGTAACGGAATGAAGGTTGGATGCACACAACCTCGAAGAGTAGCAGCCATGAGTGTAGCAGCTCGTGTTTCACAGGAGATGTCTGTTAAACTGGGCAATGAGGTAATAAAGCTATCAATGATAACTGTAGTTTGTTTTATTTCTGCTGTTGTCATTTTTTGCTTTTGGCTTTTCTATTTCTGACACTATTCTTTTGGAGACACAACATTGTCCTGTGTAGATGGCAGTGAATAAAGTTTAGTAAAGTTTATCTAAACCCAAAAACACAAATGTAATTTATTAAAGCTTACCAGTTTTTAGATATGGTGATTGCATGAGAATTTTTGCCCTGTGATCTTGTCAGCACGCTCCCTTTACTGTGTTTATTGTGGATCAGTCTTGCACCATAGGCAGCTCACTTCCAAATTTGGACAACTAAACACCTCCTCCTCTCCATGACATAGGGGAAGGATTCTGCAGTCAACAGAGGGGACTGGGTACTGCTGATAATAGTGCTTGAGATTTCAGTGCAGCAAAGGCAGCGCCTATAGTAGGGTTCACTGGATTTTTGTATTCTCTTTAATTCTTTCCTTATCTACCCTCCCCATTCCAGGTGGGATACAGCATTAGGTTTGAGGACTGCACATCTGAGCGCACAGTATTGAAGTATATGACTGACGGGATGTTGCTGCGTGAATTCCTCACTGAACCAGACTTGGCTAGTTACAGGTATGATGTACTGTTCTCTAATACCAAAAGAAACTCCTAAGGGAAAGTGTTGCTCACCTTCTTCTTCCCCTGGTAATCATGATTAAGGCACGCTAGAAATATTACAACTTCTGCTGTTTTTGAGCTCCTTCTGAAGATGCTATTTGCTTAACCATTACACTAGACCGTTTGCTTCACAATGTTATGAATCATTGACCTGGAACTTCTGAGTAAGACCTGGAACTAATCCCATTAAAGCTAGAAGGCCTTATGTCAGTGGCACAGTATATTGAGGCAAGAGCCAGGCAAGCTAGCATTAGCAGAATGACAGCCTCCATGATTCTTTCAGGAAATGTTTCTGTAATCCAAGTAATTTTTATATGACTTTTTTGCAGTGTAATAATTATAGATGAAGCCCACGAGCGGACCTTACACACAGATGTGCTGTTTGGCCTCATTAAGGACATTTCCCGTTTCCGACCAGATCTGAAGGTCCTAGTCTCCAGTGCTACTCTGAACACAGAGCGCTTCTCTTCTTTCTTTGACGATGCACCGGTTTTCCGCATTCCTGGACGTCGGTACCCTGTGGATATCTATTACACCAAGGTAGGCAGCTTAGATGATGAGGGAAAACATGAGGGCAGTGGCTGAGTAGCAGAATTTCAGAGATTCTCTTCTGAAAGAATATCAAAATCAAAAACAGTAAGAAATTTGTAGGATTACGGTTAGATTTGTGTGCGTGTTTTTGTGTTTTTTTTTTCTTTGTTTTTTTTTGGGGAGATACCCTGCCACAGGACACAACAGAAAGAAGGAGGAACTCTTTCAATCTTTCTATTGTCAGGCACAGTTTCCACTTAAACAGTTACCTATTGGAAGGTTTTCCCTCTCTTTCTGTTCCAGTGACAATTGTAAAATTTGACAGCTGTCAAAATACCACATAAAGCAGAGACACAAACAAAAACGTATATTGTATATACTTTAAGTTATAGTGCTTCTATTTTATTTATATAAAATCCCCAACACATTCATGTTTGACGTGAATGTTGGGGATTTTGTATAAATAGAGAATAAATCACAAGTATAAACAATTCTGTTTATGTAAAATAATATACTGCATTTGCCTATGTTCAAAATGATTTTCCCAAAGAAATATTTATGCAAGAGTATACTGGCAAAAAAATTAATACTCTTAATAGACTAAAAAAAAATTATTCACATTGGTGAATTATGGTAACACACTTTACTGTAACGAGCAGCAGTTCACATACAGTTTTTTTTACTGTGGTACCATTCATTGTGAATGGCACCCCAGTGCATTGTTATAATAGCATGCAAAGCACCCACAGCGCTTGACTGCCTTAACATGACATGCCTTAGAACAGTGGTCTCCAAACTGTGGTCCTTTGCTTGTTTTTATCTGGCCCTTAAGCCATAAGCAGCAACAGTGGGGCAAAGTTCCTGCCACTGACAATGAGGCACTGTTCTGCCTATTGACACCAATGATGGGGCACCCCCCCCCCCCCCAACTGACGGCAACGATGGGGCACTATTCCTCCCCCCACTGACGGCAACGATGGGGCACTATTCCTCCCCCCACTGACGGCAACGATGGGGCACTATTCCTCCCCCCACTGACGGCAACGATGGGGCACTATTCCCCCCCCCCCCACTGACGGCAACGATGGGGCACTATTCCTCCCCCCCCACTGACGGCAACGATGGGGCACTATTCCTCCCCCCCCCACTGACGGCAACGATGGGGCACTATTCCTCCCCCCCCCACTGACGGCAACGATGGGGCACTATTCCTCCCCCCCCACTGACGGCAACGATGGGGCACTATTCCCCCCCCCCCCCCACTGACGGCAACGATGGGGCACTATTCCCCCCCCCCCCACTGACGGCAACGATGGGGCACTATTCCTCCCCCCCCACTGACGGCAACGATGGGGCACTATTCCTCCCCCCCCACTGACGGCAACGATGGGGCACTATTCCTCCCCCCCACTGACGGCAACGATGGGGCACTATTCCTCCCCCCCACTGACGGCAACGATGGGGCACTATTCCTCCCCTCCACTGACGGCAACGATGGGGCACTATTCCTCCCAATGACACCAACGATGAGGCATTATTCCTCCCACTGACACCAACGATGGGGTACTATTCCTCCACCTTACACCAACGATGGGGTACTATTCCTCCCACTGCCACCAAAAATGGGACACGGTTAACTCCCACTGACACCAAGACATTTTCTACTCCCACTGGCCACAGTCTGGCCCTCCTAAAGTTTGAAGGACAGTAACTGGCCCTTCATTTAGAAAGTTTGAAGACCCCTACCTTAGAACATGGTAATGCATGTATAATGTAAATGGGGCTGCATCTCTATCCACACAATTAAAACACAAGAGGTTCTAACCCCTCCACACTAGATCTAGAGCTAAAATAAAATGTGCTTCGGATATTCTGAATCAGAAAAAATTTTATATCCTGTTACAATAAAAATCAAACAAATGCAGATGCACGCCCCCTCACAATAACACATCACATAAAACACTATCTTCATAAAAACACATACATGACATAAATACATACTACACATTTAATTTAACCCTAAAAATCCTTTACCATTCAAAAACAGTATGGACCACGAAAGGAACTTGTTCTGAAGTCTGGTGGTAGGAGAGGAAATACTCCTAAATCATGTGCCAGAAAGTAGCACTGTAAACAAAGCATTCACAGAATGGGAGCTATCCTTTTTAGGATTTTAATAGCTCTTCAGTTCATAATCAGTAAGTACGCCCCTTTAATCTTCTGCTCTGTTTTTATTTCCCTCTAAGGCATTTCTGTCATGGACTGAGCACATCCCTTGCCACAGAGAGATGTGATAAATCCGCACACTCTCAATGACAGCCTTATAGAAGCTTAGGAGAACACGCTTGGTAAAGCCTGCCCTACCCATCTTCCTCAAGAAGTACATCTCTGATGAGCCTTGCCCACCAGGCAGGATATGTGCCCTGTCAACAACAGATCTTCCCTAATTGTTCCCAAAAAACAGAACCCCTTTACCCTCTCGTCCTCTGCCTTATCAGTCACAACTAGTTCATGAGTGATCTGTCTACTTTTCCTCAAATCTACAATTATTTTTTTTTGTCTTATCCACAGTTAGCTCTAAATTATTGTTCCTTCATTAACTCACTAGGTTTCCTATATCCTGCCTAAATGCAGCCTCGTCACCACTCTTCATTCTTCCAACTAACATGACACCAATATTCAAATTTTAGAACAGAGTTCACCTTGAAGCTGGAGGCGCAATCATATGTATATAAAGAATACAAAAAAAGGCATAGCACACATACCTGTGGCACCCCTGTACTAAGACAGCGTCAGTGAGTAGCAACAGTCAACCGTTACCCTCTGCTGCCTATTAGCTAGGAAATCCAAAATCCAGTTACAAAGGGTTGGACGTAACCCCAGCAAATTTAATTTACCAGGGTCGTTCATGTCAAACCGGGACTTTTGAGTTTTTATATAATTAAAAGATCAACATGGATAAATACCCCATACAGAGTGACCAACTGTAAGGGCATATAATAGGCTCCTGTGTGCCACGTCCCATAATACTAAATAGAATAATCCAAAAAATAAAAAAGGGCCAATTGTGGACTTTAGAGGCACTGCAACAAATATATCTTTGAAATCAATTTATTATAGAAATGTAAACCATTACATCGCAATTACATACATGTTACTCCGCTACGAATGCAAGACCACCAAGGGGGGGGGGGGGGGGGGGGGGGGGGTAGAGTATTCTATGCTGATTACAAAACTCTTCAAATATTATTATTAAAATTGACACAAATGTACCGTATCCCGGTAAAGATATCAAAATACATAAATCGAATGTCGATATGGGTAATCACATGATGGTTACTCTGTAGTTACTTAACATGTTTCGCGACAGTATCGCTTCTTCAGGAGTTACTACATAGAGAAAAGGATTGAATATACATATAACATAATGTCACATGGTATAGAATTGTTTGTGAATTATATAAATTCAAAAATACCTTGAGGTATTGATTACAGAGCAGAAAGTGTGTCGGGATAGATGAAGATCCCGCATGGAGCAACCACATGTCAAGCAAGTCAGCAGGGGGATCCCATGAGGATGAAACGCCACTTGACAGTCCCTATAAAGGGGTTGTTCTCAAAATCTAAAAGAGGTATATAGATCATAAAATAGCTATATATCCCTTCCCCAATCCAAATAGCAATATAATAGAGGTCACAAATTGTGTTATGCTAACCTTCCAAAGATATCGGCTGTAAGATTGATGTGAACATCGATTTTAAAGCCCAAAAGGCCACTAGAGAATATTCACTGAAAGTGATAAATGTAGATAAATATATAAAGGCCTCAAAAATATCCGCTCGGCCACAATGGTTGCTAAACAGCATATATAAAACCTAAAGGGAAAGGGGAAAGATAAAAAGTAAATTATTAGAAAGATGTTTATGCATATTTCCATTGTATTGGAGCTAGCCAGAGTGGAGATCACTCCGATATCGATTAGTAAACACTAATTGCCAAACAGTGTACTAACCTTGTTATGATACAGGTGAGGATTGAGCAATGGGGAGGATAGGGCCAATTAAAAGAACAAATTTCAAAGAGTGGAAACTGCATTTATTTTTCAACATACTCCCGTGCTACCTTTTATGCACTTATCCCAGCGTTCAACTAATCCCTGGAAAGCTTTGGCATAGAAAGATTTGTCAGTACGCCTGAGCCATCCTAGGTCAGCCTGTTTCACTTTGTCATCATTGTGTTCACCGTTCCCACAGAAAGATTCATCTTTTGTGCAATTTCAGGACAGGTTATGCATCAATTATCCAAAATCAGGCGTTCCACACACTGAACGTTCACAGGAATGACTACTGTGTGCTGGGAACCACCATGGCCGAGATCGCCACTGATGGACATACCTCAATTTTTAAACTTTTACACAATTCCAATGTCTTACTGCGGCTGAGTGTCTCATAACTGTACTGTGCTTGAAGTCTTTTGTAGGTCGCTACGGGTGTTACATCTTTGTTCACAAGAAACTTCATCACAACATTCTATTCCATGCACGCACTAACACTGTTGTTTGCCATCTTGATTAACGGTCTCTGGACTACCCATGGCATGTGCGGCGCCTATCAATATTAGGACACACCACTTACGACTGCATGTAGTACCTTCATGATAGCATCCCTTTTTATACCTGTAAAATTAAAAGTCCCGGTTTGACTTGAATGCCCCTCATAGCAACAAGTTTCATCGATAAGATTGAATTAAATGCTGAGCTTAAATCAATAAAAAGCATATATGAACATACAGTGCCTTGAAAAAGTATTCATACCCCTTGAAATTTTCCACATTTTGTCATGTTACAACCAAAAAAGGTAAATGTATTTTATTGGGATTTTATGTGACAGACCAACACAAAAGTGGCACGTAATTCTGAAGTGGAAGGAAAATGATAAATGGTTTTCAAAATTTTCTACAAATATCTTAAAAGTGTGGTGTGCATTTGTATTCAGCCACCTTTACTCTGCTACCCCTAACTAAAATCTAGTGGAACCAATTGCCTTCAGAAGTCACCTAATTGGTAAATAGAGTCCACCTGTGTGTAATTTAATCTCAGCATAAATACAGCTGTTCTGTGAAGCCCTCAGAGGTTTGTTAGAGAACATAGTGAACAAGCAGCATCATAAAGACCAAGGAATACACAGATGGGTCAGGGATAAAGTTGTGGAGAAGTTTAAAGCAAGCTTAGGTTATAAAAAAAATCCCAAGCTTTGAACATCTCACAGAGCGCTGTTCAATCCATCATCTGAAAATGGAAAGAGTATGGCACAACTGCCAACCTACCAAGACATGGCCATCCACCTAAACTGACAGGACGGGCAAGGAGAGCAATAATCAGAGAAGCAGCCAAAAGGCCCATGGTAACTCTTGAGGAACTGCAGAGATCCACAGCTCAAGTGGTAGAATCTGTCCACAGGACAACTATTAGTCTGCACTCAACAAATCTGGCTTTTATGGAAGAGTGGTAAGAAGAAAGCCATTGTTGAAAGAAATCCATAAGAAGTCTTCTTCACAGTTTGTGAGAAGCCATGTGGGGGACACAGCAAACATGTGGAAGAAGGTGCTCTGGCCAGATGAGACTAAAATTGAACTTTTTGGCCTAAAAGCAAAACGCTATGTGTGGCGGAAAACTAACACTGCACATCACCCTGAACACACCATCCCCACTGTGAAACATGGTGGTGGCAGCATCATGTTGTGGGGATGCTCTTCTTCAGTAGGGACAGGGAAGCTGGTCAGAGTTGATGGGAAGATGGATGGAGCGAAATACAGGGCAATCTTAGAAGAAAACCTGTTAGAGGCTGAAAAAGACTTTAGACTGGGGCGGAGGTTCACCTTCCAGTAGGAAAACGACCCTAAACATACAGCCAGAGCTACAATGGATTGGTTTAGATCAAAGCATATTCATGTGTTAGAATGGCCCAACTAAAGTCCAGACCTAAATACTATTGAGAATCTGTGGCAAGACTTGAAAATTGCTGTTCACAGACGCTCTCCAGCTAATCTGGCAGAGCTTGAGCTATTTTGCAAAGAAGAATGGGCAAAAATGTTCCTCTCTAGATGTACAATGCTGGTAGAGACATCCCCAAAAAAACTTGCAGCTGTAATTGCAGTGAAAGGTGGTTCTACAAAGTATGGACTCAGGGGGGCTGAATACAAATGCACACCCACACTTTTCAGATATTTATTTGTAAAAAAATTTTGAAAACCATTTCTCATTTTCCTTCCACTTCAAAATTATGTGTGCCACTTTGTGTTGGTCTATCACATAAAATCCCAATAAAATACATTTACGTTTTCAGTTGTAACACGACAAAATGTGGAAAATTTCAAGGGGTATGAATACTTTTTCAAGGCACTGTAGCTGTTTTTATCTAATGTAAGAATAAGGCAATAGCATCTTCTGTGGACTGATTAGCTCTAAAGGCAAATTAGTAGCTATCCAGCCCTGACGGAATACACTGTTTAATGTGATTTAAAATTACCTTTTCAAAACATTTCATTATAATGGGTGTATGTCATGGCAACAGGACAATCGTTCCTGAGATGAGAACTACTAGATTTCTGAGTAACTGGGACAATAACAAATGTTTTAGGGCAAGAAGGCACTACCTCCTGCTCTAAGCAAACATTAAAGATTTCCATAAAGACATTTGCCAATTGATGGGCACTTTTCTTTAAAATAATGTAATGTTATCCCTGGTCATGACCCAATTGCATGATTGTTTCTTTTTTTTTTTTTATGCATGTCTGGTTATAAGAAAGCCTTAAATATTCAAATAACTGAAACAGATAAAATAACAACCAATAAGTGAAAGCTATGTGTAGTGTCCTAAAGCTGGTTGCACCTTTCATGAGTATTCTGTTGTACTTGATACAGTAAGTACATGTATGTACTGATTTTGTCAGTTTGTAGAAATGTTATAACAGTGCTAGCTGCTGATTTTTACATGTAACTCTATCCTGCAGGCCCCAGAGGCTGATTACCTAGAGGCGTGTGTTGTGTCCGTCCTACAGATTCATGTTACGCAACCTTCCGGAGACATATTGGTGTTCTTGACAGGGCAGGTAGATAAATATTTTCACTGTGATGAGTGTTACAGCTATTAAAACTGTTATGCTGCCTTGGAGACATGAAGGCATTGGTAAGGATAGTAACCATCATTATAAACAAATCCAGTTTCATAGGTAAACCTTTCATCCTTTCCTCTTAAATACTTTATAATTCACTAACCCAAAATAAGTACACAGATCAGGAAAGTGAAAAATCCTTATCAGCCTACCTATTTCAGGTCACAGCATTGACTCCAGTGGGGTCAGAATGACAGCCAGGTATCTAGGGTTTGCAGAATAAGTCTGCAACAGCAGCTGCAATGGTTCTCTTGGGTAAGGATTACTTTAGAGTGGAACTATAGATTTAAAATTAAAGCATGCTGGCAGGCAGGCTTTTGTTGCAGAAGAGACCTCTGAATTTTTCTTCTGTTACAGTTGTGCTCAAAAGTGTGCATACCCTTTGAGAATTGGTAGAAAACAGTACCATTTTTAAAGAACACATAAGTGAGCAGGCAAACACATCTTTTAATTTCTTTTTTTTTTTTAAAGGTGTTTATTCAAATTTTTCTTGTTTACAGAAAAAAACATTTGCAACTGCAAAAGTCAGAAATAAAAGAAAACCATTTCAGTAGTGCCTTTCCACAGTATTGCAAATGAAGATATAACATGGAATGGCTATGCAGAGCCCAAACAAGGCAGTTAAATCATGTACCATGTAATGTAATTGGCATTGAAATTAGGCATTCAGTAAAATGTACCAAACAGGAACCACACATACACAGAAAGAGAATCCATTCACAACAGCGCTGCCCTCTCTCTAGCCCCCTTTTGTGTTGCTTATACAAACTTTAAGAAAATACTTTTTTTTTTTTTCTTATGGGATTCATATTCAACTGTAGGTCATAACAGAATGTCAGAAAAAACATATTAAATGATCCCCCGTTCAAAAGTCTGCATACCCTTGGTTTTTACTACTGTGTATTGCTCCCTTTAGCATCAATGACAGTGTGCAGTCTTTTGTAATAGTTGTCTGTGAGGTTCCAAATTTGTGCTGATGGTATAGCTGGCCATTTGTATTTGCAAAATGCTTCCAGGTCATGCAAAGTCTTTGGTTGTCTTACATGAGCTTCACGTTTGAGATCTCCCCAGAGTGACTCGATGATATTAAGGTCAGGAGACTGTGATGGCAACCAGAACCTTTACCTTTTTCTGCTGTAACCACTGGAGGGTCAACTTGGCCTTGTACTTAGGGTCATTGTTGTGCTGGAAAATCCCATGCACATCTTTCATGCAGAAGAATGCTAATTGTTTGCCATTATTTTCTGATAACATTCTGCATTCATCTTGCCATCAATTTTCACAAGATTCCCCGTGCCTTTAGGGCTCACAACCCCCAAAGCATCAGTGAGCCACCACCTTCTTCACAGTGGGGGGATGGTATTCTTCTTGCTATAGGCCTTGTTGACCCCTCTCCGTAAAGCTCTATTTTGATTTGTCACTCAAGATTACAGTGTGCCAGAAGCTGTGAGGCATGTCAAGGTGTTGTTTGGAATATACTGGTAGTAATTGGTTTTTTTTGTGGCATTGGCATACTTCCTTCTGTAACTCGACCAAGCGGCTCCTTTTTTGTATTGTGCTCCTTGAAACAACTTTTTCCAATGCTGCCTGTATTTCTCCTGAGGTTATCTGTGTGTTTTTCTTTGTATCCTGAACATTGCTTCCGGCAGTTGTGGCTGCAATCTTTCTTGGTCTACCTGACCTTGGTTTGGAATCAAGAGATCCCAGAATTTAATAGTGATTGAAGATTACTGACTGGCATATTCAAGGCTTTGGATATCTTTTTATATCCTTTCTACATTAAGTTCCCATTACCTTGTTTTGCAGGTCTTTTGACGGTTCCTTTCTGCTCCCCATGGCTCAGTCTCTAGCCTGCTCAGTGCATCCACGTGAGAGAGCTAACAAACTTATTGACTGTTTATACACAGACATTAATTGCAAGTTAAAAAGCCACAGATGTGGGAAATTAACCTTTAATTGCCATTTTAAACCTGTGTGTCACCTTGTGTGTCTGTGCAAGGCCAAACATTCCAGGGCATGTAAAATTTTGATCAGAGCCATTTGGGTGATTTTATTATCATTATGATTTAAAAGGGAGCCTAAAAACAACTACACCCTGTTCCAAATTATTATGCAAATTCTATTTAAGTTTCACAAAGATTAAATATTTTGTTTTTCAGTTTAACTCATGGATGGCATTGTGTGTCAGGGCTCTTTTGATCACTGAAAACAATCTGACACCTGTGATAATTAGATTGGCCGGTGAGCCCAAATTAAGGAAAAACTACTAAAGGAGGGTGTTCCACATTATTAAGCAGAGCACCATTTTCAAGCAATATGGGGAAGAAAAAGGATCTCTCTGCTGCCGAAAAGAGTGAAATAGTTCAATGCCTTGGATGAGGTATGAAAACATTAGATATTCACGAAAACTTAAGCGTGATCATTGCACTATTAAGAGATTTGTGGCTGATTCAGAGCACAGACTGGTTTGTGCAGATAAAGGCACATTGAGGAAGATTTCTGCCAGATCCATGCATCGGATCAAGAGAGAAGCTGCTAAAATATCATTACATAGCAGCAAACAGATATTTGAAGCTGGTGGTGCCTCTGGAGTCCCACGGACATCAAGGTGTAGAGTCCTCCAAAGTCTTGCAACTGTGCATAAACCTTCTATTTGGCCACCAATGACCAATGCTCACAAGCAGAAACGGCTGCATTGGGCAGAAAAATACATGAAGACTGATTTTCAAACAGTCCTGTTCACTGATGAGTGCTGTGCAACCCTGGATGGTCTGGATGGATGGAGTAGTGGATGGTTGGTGGACGGCCACCCTGTTCCAACAAGACTGCGACGTCAGCAAGGTGGTATGGAGTCATGTTTTGGGCCGGAATCATGGGAGCAGAGCTGGTCAGCCCCTTTAGGTGTAAAGATGACCTTTGCAAAGTATGTGGAGTTTATGACTGACCACTTTCTTCCCTGGTACAGGCTTTCTGTAATAAAATCATCTTCATGCATGACAATGCACCATCTCATGCTGCAAAGAATACCTCTGCATCAATGGCTGCTATGGGGATAAAAGCAGAGAAAGTCATGGTGTGGCCTCCATCCTTCCCTGACCTCAATCCTATTGAGAACCTTTGAAGCATCCTCAAGCAAAAGATCTATGAGGGGGGGAGGCAGTTTACATCCAAACAGCAGCTCTGGGAGGCTATTCTGACATCTTGCAAACAAATTCAAGCAGAAACTGTCCAAAAACTCACAAGTTAAATGGATGCAAGACTTGTGAAGCTGCTATCAAATAAGGGGTCCTATGTTACAATGTAACATGACCTGTTAAAATGTTTAAAAAGTTAAAATGTTGTTAAGTTTGATTGAAATAGCTTTTGATTTCAGTAAATATGCTGCAAACACAACAAATGACAATTTTCAGTTCTTTACAAACTATAAAGTGTTTTGAAACTTACTGTGTGTAATAATTTGGAACAGTGCATTGGAAGTGTTTTATGTTTAAAAAAAAATACTGTTATCATTAGGAGGTTTGTTCAATAAAATGTGAATTGTACTCTTAATAGTTGATAACATGAGAATTATGCTGACTGTTATTTATATCAATTATTTAGGTAAATGAGAAAAAATATCATTTGCATAATAATTTGGAACAGGGTGTATGTGAAAATAAATGGCTTCATATGAGCGCTATCATTAAATAAAAGACAGTTTGTGACATGATCAGTCATATTTTCAATATAAATGCCAAAATTTCACAATTTTTGCCAGAGTATGCAAACTTTTGAGCACAACTGTATAAATGCATCTTTCCTTCCAGCAAAGCTGATTTTGAATATACACTGAGCACTCTGGTGTATCTCCGTGTGTATTCTCGGCACACATTGGTGCCGAAAGGAATCAACTCTCATGCGTAGCAGTTATTTCATTCTGGGCTCGCCAATCAAGATGGCCAAAGTCATATAGCAGACTGTAGTTCTGCTTTATGTACAGAACCATTTTTGTTTTAAGATTTGGCAATCCAGGAGGTTTCTATTATTTTTACCTTTTTTTTTTTTTTTTTTTTTTGCTCCTGTTATGGCGGCTCTTTTGATATTAGGGTTGCACCGATGCCCTTTTTTAAAAATCTGCGAGTACGGATACCGATACTTGTGCTCAGGTACTTGCCAGTAACGATTACCGATACCTTTGTGGTAAAATTTGAGCTCATACAACAAGAATTGCATGTGATTGGATGGGAATGCGGTGTGATTCCTGTCCGAATCAAATGCCATTTCCCTGTGGGTATGGTGCGATTTGCATTGCACAGGCTGCAAAACCGCATGTGATTCAAGCAGAAATCGCACTGCTACTTCAGCTGAAATAGTGCAATTTCAGTTCAAATCACATGCAATTCTCATTCATTTTGTAAGGGCTCAAATTGTAGGTATTGGAGCATTTGCATGAGTACAAGTACAGTCTTTTTCTGCAATGCGCCAGTGCGGGGTAAACAAGTCATATAGAAAACAGCGGTCTTGGCGTGAATGAGCTGTAATCCTTTTCTAGTTGCACCATCTACTAGAAGCAAAAAATTAACTGTATCAGCAATTATCCAGCACACTGAGAATCTTTTGATTTTTACCTATGTAATTTTACTGTTTTGTTTATGGCAGGAAGAGATTGAGGCGTGTGTTGAGATGTTACAGGAACGTGTGTCGCCGACTTGGCTCGAAGATAGCAGAGATGCTTGTTCTACCAATTTATGCCAACTTACCGTCTGACATGCAGGCCAAGATCTTCGAACCCACCCCACCTGGGGCCAGAAAGGTAGTGTATTTTAGAAAAGAGGAACAAAATGGAGGACAGACTGCTAAGAAAGTGAATGTCTTTCTTATGTCTTTTTTTTTTTTTTTCTTTTTTTTCTCTCCTCTCGAAGGTTGTTGTAGCTACCAACATTGCAGAGACTTCACTGACCATAGATGGGATAATTTATGTCCTTGATCCAGGATTTTGCAAGCAAAAAAGCTACAATGCTCGTTCAGGAATGGAGTCCCTTATTGTTACTCCCTGCTCTAAGGTGACAAATTGCAGTTCTTTTACAGCTGCTATAAGATGGCTGTCGTAGATCAAACCATATAGCTAACTAAACATCTATCAGGACTTTGTTGTCTCTATGTTTACAAAACACAAAAATAGGGCTTCTGGCAAAGGAAAAAATACTTGCCATCATGCTACCCAAACCAGCAATTTTCATTGTCTTGAGGAGCTAAGCTTACTGGCATATATTTAGCATCGAACAATTTTGGACACTGTGTGATGTGGTCCCTTTTTAGTGGCCTATACCTCTCCAGTGTATCCATTTGTGACCTTGGGGCCACAGAGTGCAGTAGGGGACCAGGCAGCCTGATTGGTTGCTATGGGTAGTATTTTAATCACTTCTCTACTGGGCTAATTCTGATATTTCTCTCCTACATGTAAAAATCCATATTGTTTGCTGGAAAATTACCTAAAACCCCCAAACATAATATATATATATTTTTTTTGTTGAGGCCCTAGAGAATGAAATGGGTGTGCCATTTTTTATACACGGTATTTGCACAGCAGTTTTTCAAACACTTTTTTGGGAAAAAATACACTTTAATTTTATTGCACACAAACACTATATAATACCTAATTTTTGTTAAAATATAAAAGATGATATGTCAAATAAGTAGATACCTAAGATGTCACACTTTAAAATTGTGTACGCCTGTGAAACGTTGCCAAACTACGGTACCTAAAACTCTCCATAGTCAACGGTTTAAAAGCCTTTAGAGGTTACCAGTTTCGAGCTACAAAGGAGGTCTGGAGCTAAATTTATTGCTCTCGCTCTGACATTCGCAAGGATACCTCACAGGTTTGGTGTGTTCACTGTATACCTATGCGTGTGGGACTTGTGTATGCATTCGTGATTTGCATGTTAGCAAGGGGGGAGGGGTGCTTAAAATTTTTTATTTGAAACTTTTCTTTTACACTGTCTCTTTAATATATGTACAATTGTGTTCAAAATAATAGCAGTGTGTTGAAAAAAGTGAAAAAAGCTCAAAATCCTTCTAATAGCTTTTATTTCCATACACACAAATGCATTGGGAACACTACATATTCTATTCCAAATCAAAACACGAAGAAAAATATATCAAATTTGTGTTGTTCCTCTAAAAAAAATTGAAGAAAAGTGAATATTAGACTGTTCAAAAAAATAGCAGTGTTTGTATTCTTCTTTACAAACTCAAACATTCACTATATAAACTGAAAAATGTTTGAAGAATTTGTTTTCCTTTGAATCACTTAATTAATATTTAGTTGTATAAGCACTGTTTCTGAGAACTGCTGTACATCTGTGTTGCATGGAGTCAACCAACTTCTGGCACCTGTGAACAGGTATTCCAGCCCAGGATGATTGGACTACATTCCACTGTTCTTCTCTATTTCTTGGTTTTGCCTCAGAAACTGCATTTTTGATGTCACCCCACACATTTTCTATTGGATTAAGATCCGGGATTGGGCTGGCCACTCCATAACGTCAATCTTGTTGGTGTGGAACCAAGATGTTGCACGTTTACTGGTGTGTTTGGGGTCGTTGTCTTGTTGGAACACTCATTTCAAGGGCATTTCCTCTTCAGCATAAAGCAGCATGACCTTTCAAGTATTCTGATGGATTCAAACTGATCCATGATCCCTGGTATGCGATAAATAGGCCCAACACCGTAGTATGAGAAGCATCCCCATATCATGATGCTTGCACCACCATGCTTCACTGTCTCTTCACAGTGTACTGTGGCTTGAATTCAGTGTTTGGGGGTCGTCTGACAAACTGTCTCTGGCCACTAGACCCAAAAAGAACAATCTTACTTTCATCAGTTCACAAAATGTTGCGCCATTTCTCTTTAGGCCAGTCAGTGTGCTCTTTGGCAAATTGTAACCTCTTCAGCACATGTCTTTTTTTCAACAGTGGGACTTTGCGGGGGCTTCTTGCAGATAGCTTGGCTTCACATAGGTGTCTTCTAATTGTAATAGTACTCACAGGTAACTTTAGACCTTCTTTGATCTTCCTGGAGCTGATTGTTGGCTCAGTCCTTGCCATTTTGGCTATTCTTCTATCCATTCGAATGGTAGTTTTTCGCTTTCTTCCACGTCTTTCAGGTTTTGGTTGCCATTTTAAAGCATTTGCGATCATTTTAGCTGAGCAGCCTATCATTTTGTGCACTTCTTTATATGTTTTCCCCTCTCCAATAAACTTTTTAATCGAGGTACGCTGTTCTTCTGATCAATGTCTGGAACGACCCATTTTCCTCAGAATTTCAGAGAGAAATGCACTGTAACCAGCATGTACAACATTTGCTGCCTTCCTTCCTTAAATAAGGGCAATAATTGCCACCTGTTTTTCAAAGAATGAATGACCTCACTAATAGAACTCCACACTGCTATTATTTTGAACATGCCCCTTTCAATTAGTGATTCAATCACACAGAATCAGCAGCATGCATGTCATCACTGTTGGGTCTGTTGGATTTCTATTACTCTACTACACCTGCTAGTAACTTATTTGCCATGTACAAATATCATTTCTATCAAAAACAGTGATTGATCAGGTTAGTGATGTCTGACTGCTATTATTTTGAATAGAACTGTATATATTTTTTTAACAACTTTTTTGCTTTCTCAAGGGATGAACAACATCTCTTGTGAAAGCATGAGCCATGAGAGGTCCTCTTTATGGAGAGATTGGAGAGAGATCTGAGGTCTATTAGACACAGATCGGTCTGATTGGCTACTCCGTGGTCGCTAATGGCCAGGTAAACAAAGAACGGGAAATGGAAGTGACTTGTCGCTTCTGGTTTCCAGGGTCACAGAGAGGGAGGAACAATGTTAGTTCCTCTTTCTCTATGTAGTGCCGGCATCGCCACCAGTCACACCACTCCCGGACTCAGAGATCAGATGGCAGAGCCCAGGAAAGGTGATGGTGGAGGGAAGGGGGACACAACCTTCCACCGCCCGCAGAAGTGCTTGATTGGCTGTTCAGCCACTCAAATCACTTCTGCTTTATAGGTAAATGCCGGTGTAAAATTTTGATATGGGGATGATGTCTGCAGGTGCAGGCATAATCCCCGTTCTAACCACTTCCACCCAAAGACATCATATGATGTTTTACGAGCAGGACGTGGTTAAGAGAAACTTTACCCTCCCATTGCAAATTTCTGTCTCTCTTTCCCTAATGAACGTTAGTGCTTATACTTACAAGCCCAACATATTCAGCGTTGTCCTCTTCTTTGGCACCTCTCTCCTACAGGTCCTGATCCACACCACCATCTTTTTTTGGGGAGCCAGTTGTCTCTTCCTGATTTTTTGCAGCTGGTTCTCCAGTGATGCAGCGTCAGATCTTGCACATGCTCAGACAAAGATCTAGCATAGCGTCTGTTTACATATTATTCTATGAATGAAGGATAGTATTGGCTGCTGAGATACTGATGTCCATTATTCCAGATGGCATTAGTTTCCTCCTTTCATAGAACAACATGTAAATGGACACTTTCTGTCTTTGCACGTATAAGGCCTAGTGCCACCTCTGTTTACTTCCCTGCATTCTACAAATGGGGTAAGTAATGCCTCCTGGGATAACTGAGGAGGCAACAGAGGATAATGAAATGTCATTCTTGTTTAGGCAAGAACAAAGGAGGGGAGGGCAGAGGCAGATCAAAATAAATACATAACTAACTAAAAAATGGACTATGGGCAAAATTACTAGAATTAACAGTTTTGGTTTTCTGAGTCGCCTTGTAACATAGTTTGGATTACCTGTTAATCATACCTGTAGATTGTCCCTTATTTTGTTGCTTCTTCTAATAGGGTGACAATGCTATTTATTCAGTAGGAAACTGTACGTTGTCATCCCAAGAACAGAGTAGTTGTAGATTGACATATATTTTAAAATGAATTTTAACCAAGAGACTAACAAATGAATGCGTAACTCCAGCAGTTACAGCAGCAAGTGATTTTCAGGATGTTACAGCAGCAATTTTTTTGTTTTGTGAAAAAAAAATGCCTGCATCATATATTAAATTAGGCTTTTGCCCATAGATTTTATAATTAATTTTTGTTCTCCTTCAATCTAATCATGAATGGATGGTGTTTCTTTCCCAGGCTTCTGCCAATCAGAGAGCAGGAAGAGCTGGCCGTGTGGCTGCAGGAAAGTGTTTCCGGCTGTATACAGCCTGGGCTTACAAGAATGAGATGGAAGATTCAACAGTGCCGGAAATCCAGAGGACTAACCTGGGAAATGTGGTGTTGCTGCTGAAGAGCTTAGGTGAGCTGAGCATAGAGTGGCAAAGTCACACTGTTGTGTAGGAGAGTTAGAACAGTGAAAAGTGGTGGTGAATGTTTGAGCAATAATTAGAAACATGAAGTAACATAGAAAAAAATCTAATCTTTCTTACCATTGTCACTGGCCTACCATTTCCCACCATTTTCAATTTGTACAATGAGATTGTAGCATACCTGGCCTGCTTTAAGGGATTGGACAGATTGTAACATGTGCCCCTCAGAATTATACCTCTGGTCTCTTAACTTTTGTGTGTAGCCTTTCCTTTGTGTTTGCTCCTGCAGCTGACTAGTATTCTGTATCACCTCCAGGTATCAATGATCTCATCCACTTTGACTTCATGGATCCTCCTCCTCACGAGACTCTGGTTTTGGCTCTGGAGCAGCTGTATGCCTTGGGGGCCCTAAACCATCTGGGCGAACTCACTAAGGTTAGAATGGAAACAATGGCTTATGGGTTTTATGTATAGGAAAAAAAATATTAAAACATTACATTTTGTGTTGCCCATAGAGACTTCTGAAATGCTAACTAACATTAATAACTAAATGCCAGACAGACACAAAAAAAAAACCCCAAACATTTTAGTCCAGTTATGTAATCATTAAAAATTCTGCTTGGGAGAGGGACTTGGGAGCATCTATAGACCCAGCTGAATGGAGTAAAGCATGGTTGATTATATCCTGTTGCTCTTTCAATACGGCGACTATGGAGGCTACTTATAAAGTTTTGATATTGGGTGCCTGCTCGCATTGCATGCGCCAATCCCAACGTTTTGGACAGATGCTTCTGTGGCTGTGGAATGTGTGGGGATGTACTTCACATTTGGTGGTCATGTCCTCGTCTAGTTGGGTTCTGGTCCAAAGTTTTTGGCCTACTATATTCCATTTTCCATGTTTCCATTCTGAAAGACGTGAAAGCGGCATTATTTCACTGCCCAGTTATGGGCCTGTTTGCGCACCAGCAGAAGCTTGCCACGTACGTCTTTATAGCCGCTAAACGGGTTATTGCCAAGGCTTGGAGATCACCCTCTGTCCCTTTCTGTAAGGTTAAGCCTATTCTGACCACCCTGATGCTACATGAAAAAATGATCAGTATTGTTGATACTAAATTCCTGAAGATCTGGTGTCCTTAGTGGATGTATGAGTTCCCCAGTCTATCTCCAATGGGTTTGGGGACTCCTCTAGTTTTTGTGTTTTTTTCGGGCCTGCGGGAGAAAAACTCTTTTCCTTCTTCTTGCTTTCTGATTGTCAATTTCTCTTCTCTATAAGAAACAATGTCCTTGAATTGCTGCATACTGAGATTGTCTGTTGATCATTATGCCTGAGGGTGCATTCACACCTGTGAATGCACCCTGCCTGCAATTGAGTAGGCAGCCCCATTGAAAGCAATTGCCACCTCACAGCTAATTGCAGCCACCCACATGTAATCTCTGAGCAGTCAAAGTTGAGTTAATGAGTAGACCATGCTGTTACTCAAACACTAGCAGCGGTTCATTCCACTGAATCCATTAACAGCACCTGATCTGTGAACAAGCACCACAGACATTTTTTTTTTTGTTTTTCTAATTTTAAATACAGTCCAGTATCATGTACAGGTAAGACAGAGTCACTCTGTATCTCTGTACATTACAGTTAAAATGGGACTATGTATTCACTTCACAGAATAAACTTTTCAAACTTTGCACTAAAATTATCCACTCAGAGCTTGGTCTCAAGTGGATAACTAAGAGTTGCATCACACCACTAGTCGCACACTTTAACGCCACATCAACTTAGAGCCCTTATAAGGTACTGTGGCACTTCATTTTGCCACGAGGATTAGTTTCAGAACCATCTACACCTGTGTTGCCACATACTCCTACCAGACATGCTTACACTATCTCCCACTCCCTACTCTGTGAGCACCCCACAGGGAATACTTTGTAGCTATGGCAGAGACCAGGCAAAAGGAAGCCAATTCAAAATTGCTGGTGGAAAAAGAGTTTGCAAAGAAATGGGCTATTCCTGTGGTTGCTGTCTGTGTTCTAAACAAACATCTCACTGTACCTATTGAAGATGTTTCTTCTTTCAGAGTTTCTGCAGATAGAAAGTTTGATATGCTTCTAAAACCTCTTTAACTTGGCAGGCAACTCTGCAACTAGCTCTTTCTGCAGTTTCTATATGCCAAACTGCAGCTAACTGAACTAGAACAATGAACAACCATCTTGACCCTGTATTCCCGGATTAAGATTAATCTGTTTATAGAGAATTTATAGCAATTGCCTTCTGCGCTGCATTTTTGTGTGGATGCCTTGTCCAGTGATTCTTCAGTCCATATACCAGGAGTGGACAACTGGCAGGCAGACTGTTTGGGCCTCCACCACTTAGACCAAGTGGAATGTTCTATTCATCCAGGTGTGTTCAATTTGATGTGCAAAAGAAGGGGCATTGTGTATGTAGACATCCTAGCCTAGATTCTACAACAATCTACCTTTGTTACCAGAACCAGGGGTCCTCTGGTCCTAGGCTCGGATGCCCAAATAATCCCCAGGTCTCAGTTCAGGCTAATGTATCCTCCAGTGCAAACTCTGCCTCACCTGCTCCTCAAATTAGAGCAAGAGAGGAAAGAGTGTATCTAATTGCACCAGGTTGGCCCAGAAAAACATGGTACACAGACATATTCTAAATTCTATATTAAGGGATTGTTTTTTGGCTATCGCTAAATGGTTTACTGCCAGAGAAAACAGGATTGGGGACAATGGACAGTCTTGTCTGGTTCCTGTTTGAAGTATGAAAGGACTGGATAGTGCATTATTCATCTTCCTCTTTCTTCAGGTGAGGTATACAGTATCTGTATCCATTTAATAAAGTTAAGGCCAATTCCAAAAGCTGCTAGAACTTCCCATAAATATAGCCATTTTACACTCCCTGGCCCTTTCCCAACATAATAGCTCTTGTATCACAAGGTCCTCTATTCTATCCTGCTTCACAGTGTCTGGCCTTAATAGCATGGCTGTTGAAACACAGGTCTTAACCCTTTCCCTGCCAGGTCTGCTATGGCATACTGACCTACAACACTGCCTCTAGCTGGCCAGGTCTGTATGCTGTATGGACCTGCATTCCTTCTCTGCTATAAGCTCTTGGTTACTTCAGTGACCATGAACGTATAGCAGAATTGTTCAGCAGATGCTGCGGAACAAACTGATCGCTCTGATCAGTGGTTGATAAGCCTGAAAACCTGAAATGCAATACCACAAAATGGTGTGTAGAATGCATCCAGAAGTCTAATTTGTTTTCTCTTGTCTTACTGCTTTTCATAGAATTTGGATAAAAGTCAAATGTCAAGCACCCCTGCAATAGGTGCTTTTATTTTTGGTGAGACGATCAGTTTTTACCAGAAATCTGATTACTTGTCTCGTAGAGTTGTTGGCAATTGCTTCATTTGCATTCTTACACTCATGTAAGAGACCTGTTAGTGGTGCTTAGTCAGTGGGTCTTAGTTAATTTTTGCAGTGTTTAGTTATCCTGCTCATGTCAGGTGTGATTGGAAAAGAAAGAAAACCCTGACATTTTACAAATGTGTTCTACAGTGAGCACTGAACCTTGATTGGTCAGGGGGTTCTGGGACTTCTCTACAGTGTTGACCAAGGCCTGTGCATATGCACTTGGGCTATATCATTTTGTGGAGATTCTTTTTCTATTTTGACACTCTTTCAATGTGAACTCTGTCATTTCATGAATTTTTGCTCATATTCTGCCTTCTTTTTATCCTTGCAGCTGGGAAGGAGAATGGCTGAGCTCCCAGTGGATCCCATGTTATCCAAGATGATTCTGGCTTCTGAGAAGTGAGTCATTTGTACTGTTTTCTTCTTGCTAGTTTCTGCGACACTTGGTTTTCTTTACATCCAAATACTAAAAACAGATGCATCCTACCTTGGCTTGTATTGGCATTCTTTCTCCTGTGCTGGCTTTGTTTTATTGAAATTATTATTATTATAATACAGTATTTATATAGCGCCAAAGGGTATGCTCAGCGCTGTACAGTAGCAAGGGGGACAGAACATGAGACAAGACAGTAACAATACACTACACGAGGGGTTTGAGGGCCCTGCTCTTTCGAGCTTACAATCTAGGAGGGAGGGGGCGGTGATACAGGAGGAGATGGCTGTGGGGGATGGAGGAGGACATTTTACTTTGTACCTTAACCACTTCTGTTAACAGGGTGACAGCGCTGCCTTACTAGAGTCTCCATGAAGGAGCAGCGTTGTCAACCACATGCTTCTACAGTGGACTACAAAATTATGTGCCAGTATAGCCAACTTCCACTGTAATCTGTGTATGCCTGTATGTATTTGTATCCTATTATTCACAAGCAGGCACCTAGAGCAGGAGATAAAGAGACTTGGTAGGCAATCTGCAAATAAAAATCGTTGAAAGGTAATGATCTGCATTTTCAAAGCAAAAAAATTCTGTACAGTGCAGTCTGACATGGAAATGAATGAATGCAGTTTTGAGGGCTTACCACTTCAGCTCTGGAAGGTTTTACCCCCTTCATGGCCAAGCCATTTTTTGCTATATGGCACTGCGCTACTTTAAGTGACAATTACGTGGTCATGCAATGATGTACCCAGATGAAATTTATAATTTTTTTTTTACACAAATAGAGTTTTCTTTTGGTGGTATTTAATCACCACTGGGTTTTTTATGATTTATTATATAAACGAAAAAAGACTGAAAATTGTGAAAAAAAAACCCCAGTATTTTTTACTTTCTGCGATAAAACATATCCAATAATAAAAATTTAAAAAAATCTAATTTCTTCATAAATTTAGGCCAAAATGTATTCTTCTACATATTTTTGGTTAAAAAAATCCCAATAAGGGTATATTAGTTGGTTTTCATGAAAGTTAGAATGTCTACAAACTATTGTGTAAATATACACTGTAATTGTTATTCATTTTATACTAGTGATCAGCAACTTATAGCAAGTGACACTAAATGACTTTGTGGGAACTAACTGCCACTGACATCTCCAGTGACAATAATACAGTGATCAGTGCTAATATTATACACTGACACTGTACTAATGACACTGGCTGGGAAGGGGTTAAAATCTAGGGGCAATCAAAGCGTGAAAGCAGTAGTAAATCGCAGCACTAAAAAAAAATTGGGCCCTGGCCAGTTTGTCATAACGTGTTAGTATGCACCGCATTCAGGCAGCAGGTGCAAGGCCCCTACCATCAGTCCACCATAGCCACTACACATCTGGACCAGTCCTAGAGGCTGGTCAGCAGCTCTAAGGAAAGAGACTTGTCCCCGAAACGCTTCAGCCATTTGACCGCATTTGGAACACCTTGCTTGCCGTTGTGGCCATATTCATCATGCAAATGCTTTTTAGATACATGCTTCATCTGTGAATATGTTTTTTAATTCTTTATACCTTTGAATAAACCTTGGATAATGCACTAGGTGTGCGTGCCACCTGTTTATTTTCTATCTAGTGGCTGATCTCCCCGTCTAAGGAGAGCTGCACCCCTGAAGCATCTCCTTTGGTTGTCGCTGTCCTGGTCCCCTTGGCTTTCCTTTGGCTGTGCATTTCCTGAGACACTGGAGAGTACATATGTTAAAAACTGGCACATCCCCGCTAACAGGAGAGAGCTCTGTGTTGTTTACATGCACAGAGCTCTCTCCTGTCATCCGCTTTGCCGATCAGTTTATTGGCTTGTGCTGTAACTAATCACAGCACAACTGGGGCGGCACAAGTGCCCTCCACCCAGAAGAGCCAGATCACCTATTGGATATAGCTATGAGATACACATCGATCTGGGTGTATCTCAAGCGTACGCAAAGTGGTTTGCAGAATAGCAGAAGTAATTGCAGGCAATTGTGGAGTGGTGTTAACATTTTTATCTGACATGCACTTTATAAACAACATTTTATCACAACCAGGATGCATATGTAGTTGTTTATCTTAGTTGCACTCCCCATTTTTGTGTTAGCTATGTCCTCTTGCTACCATTTTGCTTCTGGACTACGATTGATTACATATATTTTTTTTTCTTCATTATCAAGGTATGGCTGTTCAGAGCAGATTCTCACCATTGCTGCTATGTTGTCTGTGAACAATGCAATTTTCTATAGACCAAAAGATAAGGTAGTCCATGCAGATACAGCTCGTGCCAACTTCACTGTTCCAGGTGGAGACCACTTGGTGCTGCTCAATGTGTATACCCAGGTAGGTGTGCCAAAATGTACGTTTGATTAAAGTTAGGGAGGTAGAAGTATGGCTCATAGCAACTAGTCAGATGTCGGTTTTCTTATGACTTTCGTTGGAGGACACAGCAGCAGACCTCTGTGGTAGAAGCAGTGACCCTTTGAGGATGGACACTAAGCAAAATTAGATGTTCATGCTTTCCCCTTGTGGACTATTCAGCCCTCCTCACAGAAGCAAGAGCTTCGCTTTAGCTTGGTGTTTTCAGTATTTTTATCAGCTTTACCTTAGTATTTTCGGAAGTAACAGGCTTTATAAAAGATCACGAACCCTGCTCCTTCGAACCTGGTCGTGGAGTTTTTTTTTTTTTGCCATTTAGCAGTGTTATGGTGGCCTCCAAAGCCCTGTGATTCACTAGAAATATTCTCTTGTAAGCCACCTCTGCCCCCATCAGCCCCAGATCCATGGATCTAGAGATATTAGCCTGGCCTGTAACGTGCTGTATAGAAACTTAAAAAAACAGTCATAAGAGAATCATGGTGGCTACCCATTGCTCTTGATAAGGCTTGTTGCTTGGTTTTCATTAAATAAATTAAAATAACGTTCAGCGCTACAAATTGTGAAACTTCAATAACAAAATTAATTAGATATAATTAAATGGTGAACAATATAAGTGATAATAAAATAAAAGTCCCAAAGAAATTGCTTCTGAATAGAATATCCTTCCTCCTGTGATCACCTGGTACTCCAACCACAGAAATGTGCACAATTCCTCCACCAGATGTCTCCTCAGCTCCAGCAGTGCGACCTCACATATACTATGCTCGGTCTAACCGCACTTTTGGTCCCATAATGGACGCTGAAGATCAACTTGATGAGTAATGGATCCTAATAGCTCGCTACCAGGCAAGATGCCATGATGCTAACTTCTATTACTGACAGTACAGCTTGCTTTAGTTATACGTAGACCAGTGCAATCTAGCTCAATAGTGTTTCAAAGATCAGAAGAGGTGTTTAAAGGACATAGTTACTGCCTGGTCAGCTTCTTGGGTTTCGTCTATGAGCCGCTTAGTGACCATAGAGGCTGCTGTGGCCAGAGTTGTGAATTGGTGTTGTCTCAGTCTGTCTCCTAATTTCCTCTGTCTGTTTGCCATCCTCATTTGTCTTTTGTTCAGTGGGTGGAGACTGCACACTCGCTGCAGTGGTGCTATGAAAACTTCATCCAGGCTCGCTCCCTCCGACGAGCCCGAGATGTCAGAGAGCAGCTGGAGGGACTCATGGGAAGGATAGAAATTGAGCTGACATCATGTGAAGGGGACAATGTACCTATCCGGAAGGTAAAGACAGCTAGATATTATCCTACCTGCATTGATCAGACCAAACAAAAAGGACATGTATATGTAAACTTTATTTTTGATTGAAGAATTGTTACTGTTTATTGTACCACTATAACTTTTGCATTACAGCACTGTTTTTTTGGTGGGATTATGATGCCATTATGATGTCATTAGGAGTGGAGGACCATGGTTACTGTGGGTTGCGACTTGCCATTTTAAATGTATGTTATTTTCACTGTTGTCCTGCTGATGGGGACCCTGCAAGGCCCTGAAAAATTGGCTGTTTTGACCTATGTGACATTACAAGGAAATTCATAAATGCATGCATGGATTGCTATTGACTTTCTTCTACCAGTACTGGTTTTGCACAAGGCATTTATTGCTGTTTCTGTAAGCACCCCTGTGTTGACTAAACCAGCGTCCAGCATCAGTGGGGTTGTGCTGCTCTACATAAGATTTTCCTCTTATCTGTTATAGCATATAATGCTCTGCAATGGCAGAAATGCTTTTGTTCCTCAACTTGTGTTATCTTCTGTTTTTTGTCAGGCTATCACAGCTGGCTATTTCTACCACACAGCCAGGCTCACCCGCAGTGGGTACAAGACAGTGAAGCAGCAACAATCCGTATTCATTCATCCAAACAGCAGTCTGCATGAGGAGCAGCCACGCTGGGTTATATACCACGAACTTGTCTTTACCACCAAGGAGTACATGAGACAGGTGAGCATTGAGATTGTACTTGCGTTGAGGGAAACAGTGGGGTGTTTTTTACCTTAATGCAGGGAATGCATTAAGGTAAACACCCAGCCTTTAGAACCACTTTGATTTGCATTTTGTGGCTTTTTTCAAGTGAGGTGGAATTTTACCTGCTAAAGGATTTGTATTTCTGTTCACAGTCAGGTACCCATCTAGGTATCTATGCCACATTACATACCCAGCTCTAAGACCCCAGTTTTCTCCCTTGCTATTTGACAATTTAGCTTGGCTACCACCTCTCCCTCCAGCTGACTGAATAATGAAGGAGCTTTAGCACATTGATAGAGCTGTCTTTCTGCTCTCTTTCGCTAGCAAGCCCCTGACATTAGATTAACTACTGCAATACAGTAGGGCCTAGTTAGCTCCCAGTGCTGCTAAGTTTGAGTCCTGCTGTGTGGGGTGCTAGAGAAAGCTAAAGTAAAAGCATGTTTAGGTGATTTTTACTGTCCAGATTTAAAATATAATTGAAAGTGAAAGTCCAAGCGAACAGGATACATATTTGAAATATATAAATATGGACAGGTTTTCCTGCCAAAGGATTTGACATTTTGTTCAGCCCTTGTGAGATTTATACACATTTGCTACAATGCACACCTAGAAAGATACAGGTTACTGTTTCAGTTTTGGTGCTCTTCTAGTCACATCACTGCTCATTGGATAGAAGATGTGAATTCACTATCTAGTAAACAGGGTGGAAACAGAAGGTGACATATGCTTGTCGATCAGCAAGATCTGTTCTGTTCTCATACACTTAATGACAGGTTCATTATGTTTATTCCAACAGATTATAGAGATTGAAAGTCCATGGCTGCTGGAAGTAGCTCCTCATTACTACAAGTCCAAAGAGCTGGAGGATGCAGCCAGCAAGAAGATGCCAAAACAGGTTGGGAAAAGCAAAGATGAGCTGGGCTGAAGCGATAAGGCGATGGGCTGGTAAATACTGAACTCAGGTTTGTGCTGCTATGTCGCCTGAAAACAATCACTACTTAACTAAAGTGCCATATACAGCAGTTCTGCTGATCAGTTTTCCCAATGATATTTATTTGTGTCAGTTAACATGTAGACCAGGGGTCATCAACCTTTTCCACATTGAATCTCAATTTACAAGCATAAGACAACTGTAGTGCCATTGAATAGCGCGTTGCAGCCATATAATTCATTTTCCTTTTTTGCACTAAATAGTTGTACTCTTTATAGCAGAATAAACTCATACATTATTAACCACTTTCGGGCCGCCCGCCCGCAATGTACTGCGGATGGGCGGCAGCTACAGGACCAGTGAAATGAAAATCCCAGTAATCGGGACAAGGTGATCATGTGATCGATCTGCAATGACAACAAAGCTTTTATGAATCAATCTTGATTCATAAAAGCTTTGATTCTGTTCCTGGAGAGCTGTGATTGGTCTGCAGCTCTCACGTGACACACAGTGTCAATCACAGCACCCTGTACCATGTGACCAGCTGGAGCCAATCACAGATCACTATTATATTGAATTGTCATGAACTTAAAACATTCATGACAGTACAAAGCAAGCTTTGCATTGCAGAGCAATGATATTCATTGCTCATGCAATGCAAAGTGTAAAAAAAAAAAGTCCCAGATCACCCCCCAGAATAATACAATGTCACTATGGTAACAATGCACTACTCTGATGAAAGTATTTAAAAAAAAAAAAAAAAAAAAAAAGATAGTAAAAAAAAGAAAAATGTTTAATAAAAAATTAAAAACGTTTAAAAAAAATTGAGAGAAATTCTGTGGGCGAGCGGTGTCTGTGGGCAAAGCAATGTAATCTTGCGTCGCTTTCTATTTCCTGGTGTGCGTACACATGCATTCACCCCCACTCTGCCCCCATGTCGTCCAGGGAGAGAGGAACGAACACGACACTGAGTAAAAGCACTATATTTTACATGCACGCGTTAGATTAGCACATTTAACTCTTAGATCGCCCCTATTAACCCTTTGATCACCTCATCACCCAGCCAGCGCCATTAGTCCAGTGTCAGTATATAGAATTTTCACTGATCACTGCATTACTGCCACTAGCGACATCAGATAGTGTCCGAGTCAGTTAGCACTCTTCCCAGGCATGGTCAGCTAGCGTTTGATTGCCCACACACTATTGCACTCACGCTATAGGTCGCTGATCACTGCTATTACTAGTATATTGTTTGTACAGATCAATATATTGATCACGAACAGAACTATACTAGTGCCTCCTTTGTATAGTGTCCCCAAAAACAGTGTTAGCAGGTTCCGCCTTGTTCGCTATCAGCACTAGTGTTTAGCCCCTCCGCTGTTTTTCACAAAAGATTTGTATCAATTGATTATGGGCCAAAGCCATTTATATGCACAACAATACACTGACGCCCACCCAAATTCAGCTCTTGCCAGACTATTCGCATGGAAACCTATCACAATTTCTGAATTTAAAACTTTTTCAAACATAATGGTCCACAGACCCAATTCATCATATAACCAAGTTCTCTGCTGTCACATATATGCCCAAAATGGACCAGCAACGTACCAGTGGTTATACCGGGATGATACCTGCAGCTACAGGCATCATCCTGTTATCGTTTTTTTTCCACTGGTGGTTGGTTTTAATGTAAAAATAATCCTAGCTGCTAGTTGGCCGCTGGTACGCTTTTTCAAGCAGCCGGAAAGGAATCCCCCACTCCTCCCACTGCCTTTCTAAGGTTTTCTTGGGCTCTCCTGTCTCACCAGGGAACCCAAAAATGCAGCCGGCAGTTCTGCTGTCTGACAATAGAGCTGATCAGAGACTGGAATGCCTCCAATCATTTCTATGGTCTAAGACAGTGGTCGGCAAGCCGCGGCTCGCGAGCCACATGCGGCTCTTTACCCAGTCTAATGCGGCTCTTCTGTGTGCCGGGCGCCTGCTCCCCTCCCTCCTCTCGGTCGGTCGGCCGCCGCTCCCCTGCCTCCTCTCGGTTGGCAGCCCCAAAAGTCCGCGCGGACCTTTTAATCCGGCCTGCGGATGTGGCTGTCAGGATGTGTGTAGGCGGGGCAGCGTGCCGAACGTGAGGGGAGGGGAGCTAGGCTCCTCTCACAGTCCGCCCTGAAGACCCGAACGGCGCGGGAAGACAGCGAGAGGAACGCAAAAGGTAAGTGAATTGACACGGGGGACTTGGCTTACTAGAAGGGGGGGGGGGGGGAATAGTACTGTGGGGGATGAAATACTATATGAGGGATGAATTACTTTATGAGGGATGAAATACTATATGGGGGGATGAAATACTATATGGGGGGATGAAATACTATATGAGGGATGAAATACTATATGAGGGATGAATTACTATATGAGGGATGAAATACTATATGGGGGGATGAAATACTATATGGGGGGATGAAATACTATATGAGGGATGAAATACTATATGAGGGATGAATTACTATATGAGGGATGAATTACTATATGAGGGATGAAATACTATATGGGGGGATGAAATACTATATGAGGGATGAAATACTATATGGGGGATGAATTACTATATGAGGGATGAATTACTTTATGAGGGATGAAATACTATATGGGGGATGAAATACTATATGAGGGATGAAATACTATATGAGGGATGAATTACTATATGAGGGATGAAATACTATATGGGGGGATGAAATACTATATGGGGGATGAAATACTATATGAGGGATGAATTACTATATGAGGGATGAATTACTATATGGGGGGATGAAATACTATATGGGGGGATGAAATACTATATGGGGGGATGAAATACTATATGAGGGATGAATTACTATATGAGGGATGAAATTACTATATGAGGGATGAATTACTATATGAGGGATGAAATACTACATGGGGGGATGAAATACTATATGGGGGGATGAAATACTATATGAGGGATGAAATACTATATGGGGGGATGAAATACTATATGAGGGATGAAATACTATATGAGGGATGAATTACTATATGGGGGATGAAATACTATATGAGGGATGAAATACTATATGGGGGATGAAATACTATATGGGGGATGAAATACTATACGGGGGATGAAATACTATACGAGGGATGAAATACTATACGGGGGATGAATTGCTATGGGGGATGAATTACTATATGGGGGATGAATTACTATGGGGGATGAATTACTATATGGGGGATGAATTACTATATGGGGGATGAATTACTATATGGGGGATGAATTACTATGGGGGATGAATTACACTATGGGGGATGAATTACTATATGGGGGATGAATTACTATGGGGGATGAATTACTATATGGGAGATGTATTTTCAGTTTTAAAAATGTGGCTCTCAAAATAAATTTCAATCATGGTTTTGGCGAGATTTGGCTCAGTTGAAAAAAAAGGTTGCCCACCACTGGTCTAAGAGACTGGAAGCTACAAGCATTTAATAATTTCAGTTTGGCCAGATATAAACTGCGCCATTTTAAAATTATCTTGGTGTGATCAGATGCATAGGAGAGATCTAGAGTCTAATAGACCCCAGATTTCTTAGAAAAGAGTACCTGTCACTGCCTATTGCTATCACAGGGAATATTTACATTCCCTGTAATAACAAAAGTGATTGAAAAAAAAAAAAAAAAAAAAAGGATGATGTAAAAATAATGAAAAAACAGCAAAATAAAAAAAAAAAAATTCACCCCCATTCCCATGCTCATGCCCATAGGCAAAAATGGCGTTCTGTAAACAGAGATTGTACCATGCATGTGAGGTATCATTGCAAACGTCAGATGGAGGGCAGTCATTTTAGCATTAGATCTCTTGTATAAATCTAAAGTGGTGACCTGTAAAGGGTTTTAAATCACCGCCTATGGATATTCCAAATTTATGTAATTTGTCGCCGTTGCACGGGCGAGTGCAATTTTAAAGCATTTCATGTTTGGTATCCATTTACTTGGTGTATCATCATCTTTTATCAAACAATTGGGCAATACTGTATATTGTGTTTTGGGGATTACATTTCTAAAAAGTATATTTTTTCCAAAAAACTTTTGAAAATGGCTGTGCAAATACTGTGTTCAGCACCCACTGTTTTATTCTCTAGGGCCTCTGCTTTAAAAAAATATATAATGTTTGGGGGGTTCAAAGTAAGTTTCTAGCAAAAAAACATTTTTTTCAAGTAAAGAAAAGTGTCAGAAAAGGCTTGGACTTCAAGTGGTTAAAAGTGGGTGATGTCTGGCGTCTAATGTTGGCCCTGAAATGCCAGTATAGTAGAAGCACCTCTCCCCAAATGACCCCTTTTTGGAAAGTAGACACTTGGTGAGTATTTTGCAGATCTCATTGCTCATGCTCCTTCCACTGAAAGTCTCACCATTCAATATGTACTTCAATTTAAGAACAAGCAGTGATCCTCCACTTCTCTCCTGCTCTGGTTATGGCCCCCAAGATCCACCTCCTACTTCCTCCACTCATCAAAGCTGGACTGGCATATAGAATAAAAATGTTCCCATAGTGTAGTAATTACAATCACAAAAGTGCTTTATATATAATGATTATACTTGCATATAATCAATAAAACCATCAGTCCTTTTCAAATGAGGCATTCCCAGTACTTCCAGGTGTCTCCTGCGTATGACGTAATTTCTGCTTGACTCGTTTTGTCATCACGGCTTCTCAGGATGGAACGTCAGAACCGGGAATGCTCTATTTATACACCGTTTTCCTGGGCATCTTTGCCCATACTTTTGCGCTTACATTGATAAACTTAAAGAATTCCTTATTTTCGGACGTGTCCAGAAACCCCATACCTATAACAAATTATACACGAGGAATAGAGACAGAAGTCCTCCTGCGCTGAAAGGAAGTCTACCTACTGAAAGCTGCCAGCACTTCAACTGGTACCCAAACAGTGTGTAAAATAATCATAAATAGTGCAGCGCTTAAACCAATACTAAG